AATCTTACGACGAATTATTTTTCGGTTTGGGCTCCGCAAAGAAAAATGACTTCTCTCTCTCTCTCTCTCTCTCTCTCTCTCTCTCTTCCTCTCTTTCCATTTGCCTTTCTTTCTACCTCTTTCTGCAGTCGTGAAGGAATCCGAGCACAACCGACAAACAGCGATCGTCGATTGTACCTTGGAGAAGTCGGCGCAAGTCGGTCCAGGTGCATTCTCCGCTGCGGGGCTGCGGGAAACCGCAAACACCCGATGCAGGCAGCTTTACCGCGCGCGCATCCGAAAGAAAGAAAGAACGAAGGAGCGCAAGGGCATTACGAGAAGGCGGACGGAGTGAAAGAGCGAAAGGAGGACGCGGTCGGTGGGTGAAAGGGAGAGAGGGTCCCTTGGTACCTGCGTCGTGCGGAAAACAAAAGCGTAATCGCGCCCTGCCCTACCGGATAAAAAGAACCGCCGAGATAAATATCTGAAATGTGTTACACAAACTTCTAATGAATTAGGAAGAGGACAAGTTAATCATCGTCGCGGGCGTCCGTGGAGTGATGCATTAAAAACGCTTATTCAGCACTTCTGAAAATTCATTTATATATAGTGCAACATTAACAATGGCGGGGTCTTTCGCACCCCTCTTTCTTTATCCCTTTCGTTCTTTGCGTCTCGCGTTTGTTTCCTCGATCGCGTTTCATCGCGATAAGAACTCGAAATCATAAACGCTCGCGTTAAATTCTTTGCGCGTCGATATTTTCATCGGCTCGCACGAGATGAAGATATTGACGCGCCACGCGTTTAACGGAGCCTGGTAATTGCCGATGGGAGGCCATATAGATAAAAGACAAAAAAAATGTTAAGCACATACTAAACCGGTGGATTAATAAATCGTATACGCGGTGCGGTGTGGGGAACGTCAGGCTGCGGGGACGACAGAGAATAATTTCGTTCTATTAATCGGCTATATTTTTGCCGGCCATTGTGGCGGACGGATTGTTTATCTTCGAACCGCCTCCTCTCTCTCTCTCTTTCTCGGAGCTGTATCTTCGCGCTGATTTCGCTGCGCTAACAGGTTCCACGGTCAGTCGGAGACGGCAAATTAGCCGCCGGACGGAGCTGGATTGGCAAGAGAGAGAAAGAGAGAGAGAAGGAGCAGAGGCAGATGCGGGATTCTTGGCAGGGTCAAACCCCCCGGCCATCTTCTGGTGCCGCTTATACCTCGCTCCGGTCTCCTCCACCCCGCTTCCGTTGCCGGCTGTGCTCCCAGTTCTCTTTCTCTCTCTCTCTCCACCCCTCCCCGCCCCTCCCGTGGCAAAAAATCAGCGTGTATGCGCACACACTGAGACTCCAGTGGAATAAGAGGGCGAGGTAGATTGAGGAGGTTGAAAGGGTGGGGTTTATATACGCAGGTCGGCAGGTAGGAAAAGATACGCGCCGGCAACCGGTTCTCCCCTTTTGCGCCTCCGCAGACTCCACCGTAGGGTACAGGTTCCCCGAACCGGTCCAGGCCGGATCGCGTGTTGCTCGCGTGGCCGGACGCAGCCGAGGACCGGCGGAAGCGTCCGAGTTCCAGCATTACACACAAATTGCGCCATTACGTGTAATGGGGCTAGAAAAAAATGGGCGGATAGATCGTGCCGGATGATGATGGCCGGGGAACTGGCCGCGCGGTACGCCGCGCGGAAGATCGCGGGAACGAAGCCGGCGCGCGCGCGCGCGTGCGTTACGCTAGATTTCGCGAATCTCTATATAGCTTCAAATTGCCAGTCCGAATTCGACACGATACAAAGGAGACGTAGGAAAGTTCGAAAATACTCCTTTGTACCGCGTTTCTCAATTCCGCGCTCGATTCCATGCTTCAGACGGAGCGGATTTCGATTATCTTCTCGGCGCGCGTACGATTGGATCCGCCATCGATCCGTTCCTCTGTCCATCTCTCCTCGCAGATTACCAAATCCCATGCTCATTGATTTTAGCCGCTCTCAGAATACACGCGCGTGTTTCCACACACCTGCCTACGTGAGCGGAATTTAAAGAAAATTAGCTCGTCTCGAAACCTCTTTTTTAAGTATAATGCGAGATGCGCGGCGGTGGACGACGGTGGACGGCAGCATCTCTCGACAGCATCTCGCCAGCGTGTACCGTCCGCGCGCGGCGCCTCACCATAATTTTCTGCAATATAGTGCTATATCCTCTCGCTGATGTATTGTAACCGGTATCCTATCGAATCGAGCAGGTGGCTCGACGGGCTCCCTTATATTTTGACGATTAGTTCTGGACCCAGCTTCTTCTCGAAGGACGGACTCTGCTCACAACACCTTTCTCTCGGCCAGGGCCGCAGCCTGCTGTGCTTAATACCTCGCAAATGAGTACCGCGACAATTTAAAAATACATCTCGCACTGGATAGATTTTTTTTCGCAATGAATCACGAGGAAATGCTAGTCTGTCTCTTTTCGCTAAATTGCGGAAATTCTCAATTAAATTGTAACGTTAAATCTTTTTGTAGCTCGCATTAATCGTATCATCTCTCCAGTTGGCATCAGTAATAAAATTTACCGTTCGCAGCAATTAAGATAATCATTGAATAATCCCGTAGCTTGCACCAAATACCAGGGAATAAAAAGTTAAAAAGTCAAAATTCAATACCTCATACGAAGCAGTTCACTAGAGAAGATATCTCGATATCATTAGATATCTAGAAAATTAATATGTATCAGAAGAAATGATTCCTTAATTATTTCTAGCAATTATCTTGCCGTTATTTTTCGATGATTTATTTATATTTTATTCGCAATATTGCACTCATATAAAATTAATAAAATTTAGATACTGATTCAAGTGTTGCTCTTAGATATACAGGAATTTATAATTTATATTTTTATAATTTATTATCTTTAAAATCAAATAAATATTGTATATATTAATATTATAAACATAGCGTTTGATACGCGATAATAACGGAAGAGTACAATCTACGCTAGCATTACAAATACGCCGTCTTCTTTAAAACATCGGCTTTAAAGTACCTCGACTTTCCAATTTTCTTCACAACTCCGTGTCACCGTCCTTCGAATTGTATAACTATAAAAGAGAGATAATTGCAATTCGTGCAAAAGAATCGTTAATAGAACTAATGCCTCGTAAAAGTATCCCATTTCCACAAAGGTTTTACAATTGTTACGCAGAACAATGGGGTTACCCGGAAGACCCCCGCGGTAAGAGCGCGGGGAAATTGAATTAAGCTAATGGATACCGAACAAGATTCCTGTTTCCGCAACGCGACGATCGAGAAAGATCGGTCGGGGCTGTGTGTTTGTTCGTGGAACCCTTTGTACCGCGCCGGCTGCGTCCCTGCTGGACCGAGACAGCCGGTCATCCTGGTTGCGCGGCGTTGGCCGCCGGGTCGGCCGGACCCCGACGTCGACGGCGTAGCCTGCGCGTGCACTTGCCGCGAGGGAAAGGTGGATGGCCGCGACCTTGATGCGCGTGGTTCTCGCGTGCCCGAAGCTTCACGAGCCTCCGCGAGGACGACCGAAGCGGGCGCAACCGGCCGACCACGACCAACGCCTGTACACGGTTGTTAAATTATCTCTCCGCGCGCTCACCCGGCCTATCTCGCTCCTTCTCTCTCGTTCCCCTCTGGACCATCGTTTCCTTCGGCTCGGCGCGTCCCGTCCCTGCACAGCTTCCTATCCCCTTCTCTACGAGTCGCGCGCCTCATCTCCTTTTTCTTGACTCTTCACGCACTCGCGTACGCACACACGCGCGCGCGCCCCGTCCATGAGATCTCACGGAAGCTGGAATGACTATCGCTACACTCTCGGCTCTCTCTCTCTTTCTCGAGCTCCGGCTAGTTCTACGATGGGACCGGTATCTCGACTTAACCGACCAGTCATCCGAGGCAGCCAGTGTTTCTCAACGCGTCACCGACGCGTCCGAATATTATGAGTTGCACCTGCGGTTTACCCTCAAGATTATCCGAAAACACGACGCTTAGGTCGAGGTCCCTTGGTCATTACGCTGGTACAACTTTCTGATCGTGACACCTTCCCGTAAAACCTGCGTCATCTTATGCGAGATTATTATGCGGCGGATGTCGTCGTGAAGAATAATCGCGAGTATTTTTCACGCATTAGAAAACTTGAATATTTTCTAGTCATCAGACAACCACTTTTCAAGATATATCTAGAAATGAAGATTATTTTAGGAAACGGAAAACCATTTATGACGTTTAATATCATTTAATATATGCAAATATATCCAAACTCAAAAAGTCGTTAGAATATCATAAAATACTACGCAGATGCCGAGATATATTGATTGCTTTTTATACTCAATAATAAATGCCTCTGCGAATTTATTATTAAAATACAACGACAGCATTTGGATATTAAAATTTATTATTGTTAGAATCTACGCGAAATTTGAAATTGTTATTTGAAGCTGGAATTAAAACTATTTAATGAAATGCCACGACTTGGTCATTGATATCTTATTATGTTTCTAATGAAATTTTCCTTCCAGAAAGATAAATGAATCCAGCCAGCTCGGTCGTATTGTGGGTTGCCGGAGAGCCAGGGGTCCATAAAACTTTTTTGATGCTCCGTGGGAAACAAAGTCCTTCCTACCGTAAGTCCCTATCTGAAATAAGCTAGACCGAAATGTGTTGCTCGAGAACGAGACATAATTAAAAGAAAATCCTCAAAGTAAATATAAAAATTCAGAAACTTGATTTAAATAATTCTCGACGTTACTTGGAACCGAGTACAAAAGCACAAAATGTTTGCGTAAAAAAATGATTGGGATCGAAGTAGCGTATCAGATGTATATTTTTAGAAGCGAGTACTCTCTGCAGAAGCGCTAGAGCAAAAGACGGTGCAAAAACTCGCCGTCCTTGAGTTCCATCAGGACGCATATGCATTTCTGTAGCTGTAACATATTTTGACGTAGGATCGATATATTGATAGACTCCCAGAAGTATCTATTCTTTAAAGTAGTATCGAACAACATATGGTTTAAATACTGCAAATATAATGTGTGTAGAAAATAGGAAAATATATTTTATTATTTTAATAATTTTTTTCCCCTTATATATTAACATTTCTCGATTATTATAAATTACTTAGAGCTAACCGGTGTAAAATTCATTCTTACATTACACAGACTAATCACGTTTCTAAGCGTAATAAATTATTTAACCAAAGCGCTGCTCGATGACTCAGCAATTAGCGTGGAAATTTCCTGGATATAGCTCGGCTCTCCCTTAACAAGTTTTTCTTCCTCTATGCTTTTCTCCTCACTTTTGAGGTCCGTTACGGATAATGTATCTTCCTGAGATGTGTCTGACACTTTAAAGGATGATTTTCTTAATCCTGATGCATCAGACCATGTACATTTAAAATGAATTTAATGTATTTACAAAATAACTTACAATCGCCCTTAAGATCATTATCATCCTCTGTCTCGCCCTTTTCGTAGCAAAAATTATCATCCGTGTTCTCCTCCTCAGTTCCAAAGTGTATATATGACAACGTGCACACGAGCATTATGAAAAACAAATTTGTACCAATGCCAACACAGGCTGATAGAATTGGCCAGTAAAACATCCAGTAACGTAATCCTGATAAGTGAGCATTTATCATTAGATTCGCAGAATAGAACTCTATGTGCCGTGATTGAATCTCGATAAAAATAATTGTTACTGGATGACTCTGGAACATTTGAAATTACATCTCGTAAATTCATCAGAATATCTTCTATAAAATTATAAATTAAATTGTACTTGAAAAAATATCTGCCGAGACTCTTACCTGATCCTCTTCAAAATTACCAAACAATTCGAGAACGACGTCTTGCTTCTCTTCAACGTTCCCAAAAATCATCATAGGCGAAAACGTGAGAGTTGTAAGTGTGTGTAATAGCGAGCTGCGATAATGTAACATAGCTGATTTGCACGTATGATCCACGAGATATCCGTCGCGGCTCCGCAGTTGCGCGCAAACCATGAACATACCTTGAGAGAAAATTAATTTCCCATATAACATAACAGTCTTACGAAACCAGAAATAGTGCAATGGGAAACTTTACCGAGCTCTTTGTTTGCTGGAGATTCTGGCATTTCTAGATGTAGGTTTACTTTGTATGGCTGCCCTACCATCAGGAGCTGCTGCTTTTTAGTCAACTGCACATGAGCTTGTGGAAAGCTACAAATTCCTTTTTTCTCGTCGCATGATCTAGAAACAAATATCAACAATAAAATTTTAATTTCGTTAAGTTTCATTAATTATTCGATATAATTTTATTTAAATTTTAATTATAAATATGTACTAAAATTCTAATGAATAAAATTCAGCAGAATAAAAAGAAGAGCTCCGGAAAGCATTGTATATAACTTTATTTATTTATGTATCTATAGTTAATAATACATATCTATTGGCAATATCGTCTGGCCTTGGCTCTGTAACTCTTCTTTTTATTCTGTTGAATTTTATTCAATTTAATTTGATTTGAGTTGCTATTCTAATCTTCTAAAGACAAACATTATATATTATTATGTACTCTACTATCATTTTATGAATATTATTATCATGGAAATTCAGTAGTGGACTTTGCCCACTTCTCAGACTTTGACGTCTTTGTAAAGTATGACACACGCGTCCAAGCATCACCGCTGTTGTCATCATACTTTTGAACTTAAAATATACATAAAACATGGAATTATGAATAGAACTTACTTGAATTGTAAATGTACGGGGCGCACGTACGACATGCTGGGCATGTAGGAGTAGTAGAACACCGTGTAAAGAAATATGGATAGCCAGATTATGAAGACAGTGCTAATGACAACTACGCCACCGCGGAAAACCGTTTCTCTGGCAGACTGCACGCTCTGCCTGGTGGTTTTCCGCACGTTAAACCACTTTCTGCTAATCTCACGTAATAATCTCGAAATCAACATTCTGCACGATTACTCCGAAAACTGCGCACAACGAAATTTTAGAGTTTTGGAAAACGTCAGTTGTTGTGTTCGATAGCCGATGTTACATAACGGCGGATTAAAGATTGAACACCTACCAAATTGCTAAATTTTTCTAATAATTTCACTGTTTAACGCGCGCATCAGTCGACGTTGTCTAAATCCAACAAATTTTCAAGTGCGTCCGCGAGAGACGAGATCGACGAGACCGATGAGAGAGCGATTAGGGCGACGACCTATGTATTCGGCATCGGCCGGATGATAACGGGCCGAGTATCTCCGAAGCAAAGTGGATAACAATGAGATGTTTTTGCATTTCCACGGTGCTCGGAAGATTCGAAAGGTTATGTATAAATGAACGTAAACACATGATGTGAGCGCGTGAACCGCATTTGCGCATGGTGTGATTCTGTAGATGTCGAGAATTCTCATCGTGCTTCTTCCTTTTTGAGAAGGAATAGTCTCTATAGATGGCGTCAGTACTTTATTCCTCGATACGATCATTATGCTAGCTAATATAACGAAAAAGAAACTCCAATTATACGTATAGAGCTTGTGAAATTTGTGACGTTCGAAATTTTGATTTCTGTGTCTCTGTGCGCGTTGTTTTTCCTATAATTTACTAATTTATAAGTGTATCTTTTATCTTTGTAGTCAAAATCTTCAAGCATAAAATTCTGAGAACTCTTGGAATCATCAGTCTTGACATTTTAGTTGTTTCCTTTATATTTATCTAATTATATTTTGTTGACATTTTATCGATTTTTGAGAATTTAAATTAATTATTGAAGATTTTTTTGGTCGATAATTGCATAAATTATTGCCGATAACTTATGTATAGTTGATAATATTCCTGCCTACTTTACCAATTATAGACATTGTCCATAGCTATATATATGCTATATCAATATTGTAATATATGATTTTTAAGAGACTTTTATTAATTTTGTTAATGACTAGATTAATCTGTTATATATAAAGAAAAAAATTTTTTCTTGATGTAAAGAATGATTTCAGATCTCTACAAATTCATCAATTTTTTTGCCAAATCACATTCTAATTTCGATAACTCAAGGAATTTAAGCTTTTAAATTCGTAACTTTCTTCAATTCGATTTAACTAAACATTTATCGAAATATATTTTTTTAGCAACTTTGATAAAATTTTTCAAGTTTCGTATTTGGAGTTTAGTTTCAGAAGTACTTCCATCGATATCTAACGTCTAAATATAAAGTTTTAGAAGAAGAATCGTAATAAATTGCAGCTGTATTTATGAGAATTTTTATGATATTCAATTACTCAGTTACCGGTGTAATACCTTTTATTGTTGTACATGATAGACGAAGTTCAAAAGTTAACTTGCAACGTATTTATTCCTGGTGAAGAGATGCATGTAATATAGATAACGAACGTGTGATTATGCATCTCTTTAGCAGAAATCTATATAAAATTTAAATACGGACTTTTTGTTTGGATTTTACTTTATTAAGGAAACTTATTATTATTTGATTTAAAAATGTAGTTTATCACGAAACTGTATTTCAGAACATAAAATCTTACGTATTTCTTAATTCTTTCCTGTATCTTTCGTCATTCCGCACATTTAAATTTTAAATTCAAATCAATTAATTTTTTATAGAGATTAAGTTCCAGCAAGAAATAATCTTATGACCTTTTCCACACGCAATCTTGTTTCTGACAGATCTTACATTTATTTATTTATTTTTTGTTTAAGAAACCTTGAAACATTCCTTCGTATGTTTAACGTGCATATTTCATTTCAAGCAAATATATGTAGAAAGGAATACGGAGAATAAAGAGCAGATGACATCTCCTTTGGACTCAAGGACGCGATTATTTGCGAGAAGTCACGCATGAGAATTAGAAAGTCGTAATGACACCATGCGATTGTATCCTTATTTATAACTGTACCTCATTCGGAAAGTGATTTATCCTATTTGTTACACCTGTACATCGACCAACTTAACGCTATTTTTTTTCTATAACATATAAAATCTTGCATCAGCTATCATCTTCATCGTGATCTATTGGATCCTTGGTATCGTCTGTCATAATTTTTTGATGCGCTTTCCTCACGTTGTCAGGCGAATAATTGCGGAACAGAGCTTCCTCCTCACGGAAATAACTTCGCAGTTTGTCTAACTTCATGCAGTGCGCTTCTGCAAATTGAAACGGTCAATTTCGACACACGATATTTAATAGCTTGTGATCGGCGAAGTTGTTAGCGAGACAAATACTTTTATAAAGTCTTCAAACATGTTGTTGCAGTTATCTCGGTGCTATTTACCGTTGCATAATATACTTACTATGAAGGTTTGCGACACAATCCAATTCCCCGCCAAAGTCCTGCGGCAGACATTCGGGCGGGATATGAGTGTCGGAGACGTCACCCGTGTGAATGTAAAGCTGCGGAGAGTAACGAAAGTTAAAGTCACCTTGCGAATCGCCGGCGTGACCGTGCGTGCCGAATGCACGAGACCCGAAATGTCAATGTATCTTCGTAGCGCAGAAATGCAAATTCACGACGCGTAAATGCATATATGAATTTACCATGGCTTTCGATTCGTCCCGTTCGATTTTTTTTTTAATCAAAGCTAACTTATGTTAAATTAAAAATTAAATAAAGTTAAAAATCGAAGGTATTACAGTTGGAAAGAGTAAAATCTAGGGATTTATGATGAATATTCATAATGCAAGAGGTTCTTTTTATCAGTGTTATTCGCACTCGTATCGGTTACGAATTGTGAAAGTCAATTTACCATTTCGTAAAGCTCCCGCTTCATGAACGGTCTGCAGAGCGCGAGCACCTTGTCCATAAACCATACCGCGTTTATGATGTGAATGGCTTTGAGTCTCATCGGCATGCCTTCCTGAAGGTACTCAAAGTACTTGCGGATACCGTTTACCGACAGTCTGGTCAAGTGACCGAGTCGCGTGCCAGCCATGTCGAAAAGAAATATGTACCCCTCCGAACAACCGTCCGTGTAGAGGCTCGCGTCGATGGTCATCATCAGCAGCTTGATGCCATCGTTGAATATGTACTGCGACGGCTGCGTATCCACCAATCGATGAAAAACTATTCGGTTACCATTTGGATCGGGCTTAGGAAACGTCATCAACTCCCTGCAGTGCAATCAAGAGTTACACTTTTTATCATAGTTTAATATTTAATACATTACATAAAAACAACAAAAGAGAGAATTGGAGTTCTTATATAGTCGTAGATGGGACAAAATTTCTCTGCTTTTTTCAAGAACAAAATTTTTTAGGATAGATGAGATGAGAAGTAAAAAATATTTAATACCATTTGGAATAAAATGATACATATAAACGTTCTTTGAATTTATCCTCGCGACTCTGCGATTTCTGCAGAATCGAGGAAGGATAAATAAAAGTAAAGAGATCTTTCTCAGTTATATCAACGCGCGCTCATCGGTACCAGGTTGAATAAATAGTTGCGCAACAGCTAGGGAAAAAAATTGTTGATAAAAATCTAACGCGGTCATATTAAATGCTAAGTATTAATTGAATATGCATAACTTGTGGTATCAAGTAAAAAAAGCGAGATGGATGAAAGAAAAAAAAGTAAGACTCTAGGCAAAAATTGCTCTGCGTTCATATTGCAATCATTGCATCGATAATATGTATCACGGATGCCCAACATCTGGCTCGCGACCGTATTTCAAAATACGAAATTTAGACTAAAGTACACTCCACGTGGTAGTCTCCGCGTCTAACGCAGAAAGAGCAACTTAATATCTAACCTGCGGCGGTCAAAACTTGAAATCTGGAGAAATCTCGGAGAAACTATAGTTGAGCAATCCATGATATATGTACGTTTTCGTTAAGGTCACGTCGAGTCAACGAATTTGATCCGTGTGAAATGAGTATTAAAGATTGTTTTGAATTACTGCCGCGATTTTCCGTATCCGCGATATGTGAAGACTGCGCGAGAGATAAAATCCCCCTTTTACTTGCGAAACAAAGCTTTCCTTTCACGTTACTTAACGTTTAGTCGAAGTGCCAAGATTATTTAAGAGATGCTGACAAGTGCGTACAAGACTTTCATAATGTGTTGCAGATAGTCGAGGGTAGGATCCCTGTCGCTAAAAAATTCCGGGACCGTGGTTCGCATTCTGTAATAAACGTCCATGCATTGTTTCGTGGCCTCCGTGTCGAAGTGACAACTGTGCGCGAATAACGCCAATTGCTCCTCGGGAATTTTGGGAAGACCGCGATCTTTCGCCCATTTTTGCAGACTGTCCAAAAGCTCGTCCGTGATTTCCGGATATTTCTTCCGCGAGTCTTCGATCGCGTGACCGAACTTCATCCTATGGAAAATCGTTTTTTTACAATAATATAACATAACAGTATAATAATCTCGTTATAAATATTTTTTTAAGAAGGAACGATTTATTAAAATTAATAGTTCCTCAACTTCTCGACGTGGACACGCGAGATAAATAAAGAAAAGATAAATAAAGAAAAGAGTTCGTAGAATCGAGAGCATACAGTCAAACGGCTGAAATGCGGTCCATAGATTTCCCGCGTAATGGAACTTTCACCGCAAACGTAAGAACCGTCGCTTACGAATAGTTGGTATGTAATCTTCCTCGAGTGTCACAGTAATTACTGTGGCGCGTTCTCGTGACGCTTTGGATTAGAATTGAGATTGTTTCTAGTAAACTCTCAAAATTATATCGCATATATTTCAAAAATAGCATTGTAAAGTACCGAATTCAACATTAAAAAATTTTAAGATATTTGCACAATTTATGTACAGTGGACATATCGGTTGCGATATTTTTTTATAGTGTAGATATTTTGCAAATGCGAACCACGATTAGTGTACTGTCTATAGGCTGAAGATACCTAGTACACTATTGTGGTTCGCGTTTGCAAAATATTAGTTATAATATATATACACATGTATAATATTAAGTATATACTAAAAACCCATTTTAAAAAAGTGTTGCAACCGATATATACACGACTGTACATAAATTGTACAAATAATATCTTAAAATCACTACCGTACACACATAACAATGACACTTTAGATCAAACGGATTACACGAATAGAAATTTCATGAATGGAAATTTAAAATACAAGGCACTTTTGCACATCGATAGATAACTTTATTACACTTTTACGATTTCAATTCTAATCACAAGTTACAAAAATGATTTTTTTTTAATATCTGAAGAAAATTAAGAAACGTCGTCGAAGATCGTTCTTGAAATCGGTTTCTTTTCCAAAATTGAATCCAATTTGTTTTTTTATTTTTCAAGAAGATATCGTGATAAGATACTGATATTTTATAACACTGATATCTTATAACATAATTTACGTACGCTTCTATAATTGGTTTTGTTGTCTCCTGATGTACGCTATTTTTAATTACATTTAAAACTATACTCTTAGTGTATTTATATACGTAAAGATAGATATATTTTTAAGATAATATATATGTTTTATTTACGTGATTAAATAGTTGATTGCACTCGACCGAAATGCACGGCGCGGCGGCGTTCCCGGAGTACACAGCGGAGTACACGTTCGGCGTTTGGACACAGCGCGACTGCAGTTCGCGCTCCAACTCGCGCCGACGGTTCCTTCGGATATTACATGCGCGGCCTGCGCATGGTAAAAGAAAAATACTCCCGCTTATACATGTATGTATTAGAACCGGTTGCGATGTTATGTAATGAAGAAGTAAATTAGCATGTAAGAGGAGCGATGTCAATGTAAGATCGATCACAGAGAAAGATTTTAAAGCCCATAAAGGGAAGTATAGAAATAAAGATTATTTTGTTTAAATATAGAGATGTTTCTTTGCCACAAAAATATATTTACGATCTTATTTATATTGACTGCGTTCGGGAAATACGTTATCAATTACTTTTTCAGACGCAAAACAAGGCAGAATGACGCAAATGTGCTTCCTAAACGCAACCATATTTATTTTAAAAAATAATAGAAAAATAACAGAATCAGTCAAAATTTATACTTAAAAGATCTTTTAGATCGAAAATAGTTTAATTTTGGCAAATGAATATTTCAAAAGTCATTTTGTTTACAAACTGTATAGGAAGAAGAAAAAAATTCGTGTGATGCTTGCAGACTGAAGTCTACGTTCATGATAACTATGATCATCGAGAAACGTTTTATGGAAAAAAGAAAAATGTGAAAGGGAAAGCGTGCGGATCGAGATTGGCGAATATCCTTGAACGTGCAAAGTTCTTTTCCGCTAAAATCGCATAAAGCGTTTTTTTTTTTGCCAGAAACTGTAAGTAATTTTTTTAGTAATTTTTTGCTCACATAATTGCGAAATATTGGAATTCTTATTTATTTTTTACAAATCACAAGAATCTCTATGAAAATATTCATTTTAAATTTTATTGAATTTGGAGAAACAAATTTTTTGTTCATCTTCATTATAAATACAATATGCGACGTTTCTAAATATTAATTATCACTAAACGTTCGAACACTGACGAAGCAAGTCTAATGCGGCTCGTTTGATTGAGTGCGAATCGCGCAGTCCGGCGATCGATTCGAGCTTCAAATTACTCAATGGGGGAGGTGCAGGTATGCACCGAGTGACGTTTACTAGAAATAGGAGAGTTTCTCTGTGTGAAAATTTCGCGATTTCGTAATAAAAAAACATACAAATGCCAAACTTAAGATTCAATATAAATCTCAATGATTAACATTATTATATAATTTCGAAGAAGAATTCAAAAGACGATCTTTAAGAATTCAAAAATGATATTTCCTGAGCATTTTAATTTCAAGACGAGATTTTAATTCGTGACAACAATTATAATTCTTAAAGTTAAAAGAAACGGATTAAAGAGTTAAAAGGAAAGTGTTTCTCTTTCGTCCTACATCCGTTTACATTTCGTATACTATGCGTTGATGAGAAAATAGGTCGTGGGGCATCGCAGCTTCGGCTTTCATCTCTCTTTCTCTCTCTCTCTCTCTACACCTGACCGATGAACGGCGATCAGGTAGCGGCGAAGGCTACCGACGAGAATGAGCACGTAGGGCACGCGGTCGCAAGGGCGGCGAGTAAGGGAGGACCGGCGGAGGGTGTGTTCGCCGGCGCTGCGCTGGCTAGAGAACAGGTACTCACCGTAGGCGTCGTACGTTCATTGATAAGCGTATAACACCCCGTGCCTTAGACCCGATGACGTCAACGGACGCCTGCGCAGCGTCGCGCCGAGTCCTGAATCGCAGTGGCGACCATCAGCGTCGCAACGCTGGTCCGGTTTCTCCGCTGTATCGCTGTACACACGAACTTTTCTCTCGGCACAGCTTACACGTGAATTTATCTAATCGCGATATCTGCGGTCGAAAACATAAACTGTTGAATGTAGACTCTTATTTACTTGGGTACATATAGTTCTTTTAACGATGCGGCAGCGTAACTGAGGGAAATTGCATTCTAATTAGTCTTCGTGGCTTCGTGCCAAGGCTCCCAACAATGCTTCATTACTTCTCCGCCATTAACTGCATGCCACCATTGATTTAATAACGATATTTTTTTTACGAATTGAATAAAATATATTTTTATGAATTAATTGAAATGTATAAAATTATTGTATCTGTTGTAAATTATTTGATTACGTATGACGCGCAGAATCTTCATATTTATGCGCTGATGATACAATCGGCACGTCGCATAATCATCTTATGGATTTTTCGACTGGCATGGAGAACATTTGAAGAATTTCTACAGGGGCGAAGTTGGTACGTTCCTGGTGATACGGTAAAATCGTTTTAGACCGCGAGGGAGGTACTGCTGTCTCTCCCGCTCGGGGAAATTTTGGACAGGGGTGCGTGCATGCGACGCCGCGTTAAAATTAGACTATTTCTCCGGATCTTCGTGGATCCCCCCTCCTGTCTACGTGCCATTCTACATTGGCCATTCGTCCACGGGAGAAAAATCGCGCGAGAGGAGAAAGTGCGACGGGTTAGAATGAAACGAATAGAAGTGAGTCGAGGAACAGAGCTAGATAAATGAAATAGATGTAGGCGGAGAGGGAGGCGAAGGAGAGGAAGAGTTAACGGGGATGAAGAATCGGTGGCGGGAGAGTTTCGGAAAGAAGAAGCGAGAGAGGGTGAAACAGAGAGAGAGAGAGAGAGAGGAGAGAGAGAGGAGTGACAATGAGAGGGAGAGAGAGTAGAGATATCGTAGGATCACCTCTTGCGTATTGATTGGTCTTTTGTGAAAGCTACACCCCCATGTAGCCGCGACGCGAACCATTTCGCCAAGTCACTAGACTTCCAGGGTATCGGCCACCAGGGTGGTGGTGCCGCCATGTTTGGCACGGTCGATCGAACCCCTTTAACGTCGCGCGCGGTCACCTCCTCCGTCCTCCTCCCCCCGGCGCCGATGATAATGTCGCGAGCGCGCGAACGCGCGCCGGCGAGCGATCGAGCCGACGCGCGTTCCCCGCGCGACGAGGGTAAGGGGAAACCACTTTCCATTCCCCCAGGTCTCGACGAGAGCGAGCGAGAAGTGATGATGTAAGGGGAAGATCGTCGGCGACGGACTCCGGCGATACAGCGACTCTATATCGGCATCGATCGCCGAGTGACCCATATCTGGCGGTGACGGGAGCCCCTGCCCCTCGCCCTCCCAGCACCCCTTCCCCGGTCGCCTTTCTAACCGCCCCTTCGACGCTTTTCGCATCCTGGCGCGCGCGTCTGCTCTCTCCTCAACCCACCCCCGTCCGCTTGCCATTCCTTGTACGCCATACGGGGGTATACCTCCACCCCACACGGGCCGTTGTACCCCCACCCGTCACCCCCTCCCCCCGACGGTGGCGAGCGACCACCACTATCACCCCCTACCCCCGACTCCAGCAGCCCTGCCTGCCTTCCACGGCCGAGCACATCTTGGGGGTTGTACGGGATGATAGCCGAGTGAAAAAGCTTGGCGAGTACCGAGGAGAGTTCGCTCATCAGCAGCAGCAGCCCTGGCCTGCCACAATCCCTTCGACTCGGTCATCGTAAGTGTCGCGTCGACGAGGAGGTAGAGTGGAAGCTGGTGCGAGTCGGGTGCGAGGGTGAGGGTGAGCGCGAGAGAGAGAAAGAGAGCGAGAGCGAGAGAACGAGCGACAGAGAGGAGTGCCTGATGAAGAGTGCGAACTGTGGGAGTGAAAGGAAACCCGGTTAACCGTTCGACACCGGTCCGACGTCCGATGATCGTGGGGCACCGAGGAGGCGGCGATGGGCGAGTGAGTGCCACGAAACGCGCGAGCGAAACGTCGCAGGCGGCAACCTCCAAACGTACAACTCGCGCGCGAGACATACGTTCCCCGGGAGTGAATCTTTTATCTGGTCCGATCCGGTCGGTCCACAAGCTCAACGTGTCGTGGCTCACAGTGTGACAGTCTGTCGCGGAAGAGTGTCAGTGATGGGGATGAGGGTGGTAGCGACGACGACGGCAGCGGCGGCAGCGGCACCGGGACGGCGGACCAGTATGGCGGACGATAATCGTGGAGTGTCGGTGGTGTCGCCGCCACCACCGCCGTCGCCGCCGCCACCGCCGCCGCCGCCGCCGCCGCCGCCGCCACCACCGCCGTCGCTGCCGTCACCGCCGCTGCTCACGACAGTGGTTGCACTACGTGCCCGCCGTGCAGTGGTGTCCGGTGCGCACCGGGTGCACATGTACGCTACGTACCTTTCGCCTTTTAGTGAGATCAATAAGCAGTGCCGTGGCCACTCAAGTCGTGCCCCCGCCGGGAAAGTCGTTCCGTGTCTCGTGTTCCTCATTCCCCGTTCTGATCGCGCGCCTTTCCTCCGACCCCCGTCGCTACCCGTCGCTCTCCTTGACGTCTCTTGACTTATACCGATTTGAATTTGCACGAGGCTCCGATTCCGAGCCGCGAGTCGAGCGTCAAAGTGCCAAAGTGTTTCGGAGATGGACAGCCTTTCGAATCATCGTTGAGGGCTGGCTTTCAGTGACCGGAAGTGCAGTGTTTTATCGGAACCTGTCTCTCTCGCTCTCTCGCTATCTCTCTCCTATCTCTTCCTGACTCTCCGCGATTAAACGAGACTTCTTCAGACTCCTTTGCTTTCGGATTTGACGAGAGTTCCCCTTTCCGCTCATTAATCTCCGGCTATCAGTTGCTATCTCGTCCGCCATCGAGGTGCTCCTCGATATCGCCCGATCCGTCTGTTCGCGTAGCACTTCTCGTCCGCATCTTGGATCGAATTGTTGCCAGCCAGCACCCGGTAGGATTTCTTGCAAGTCTCCTTATCGCTGTCTCTGTCTGTCTTCATCTATCTTGCTCTGTACTTCTTCGTTTGCTCGTCTTCTTCCGTACTCTGCAAATTTATTTTCATTCACTTCTTTAGATTGCAACACATTTTGTTGCAACCAGCCCTTTGTCTATTTCCATAGCTCATTATGTTCCGTGTTGTATGTCAGACGTACGAAATTTTGTGATATCGATTTCCTATAACGACGTGTTTTTCGTAATTAAATTAAGCGTCCAAAAGTATCTGAGAACTCGAAATAGTCCGAAATTGCCATATAATTGTTTTACCCTGTAAAAAAAATTGTATAAGAATTTTTTTTACGTTTTTGAAATAACTTTTCTTTTGAATTTAAAGAATAAATATCCATTTGTTAGATACCGGAACACATATAAGTGGTAATAACACAGTATTCTGCTCAGCAAGTAAAATCAAAGAATATGTTTCTTCTATTGCTGATTTGACTGTATTTTTTATATAATTTCGTTCTTTAGACTCGTGAGCGTGCTATCGATTGCCCAATCAACCTGAATCGATTCACGTTCGGCGATCGCCTCGAGATATGTCGGCTAAGGGCAAAAGGTTGACGAGCGAGAAGAGTTCCGCGCCGCGAAGAACAAAGTAGCCACGAAGTAGCAGCGATAAGATGTATTTACCTAAGCCGCGAGAGCTGAACCGCGTGCGGCGGAATAAAATCGATAATTCGGCGCTAATATAAGAGTCTGGCATTAACTTGCGATGCGTGGATAGAGATGTTGGAAGTGGATTTTTTTTATTAGAAAAAAAATTAGATAAGAAATTTCTTCTCGCGGCATTGCATATTCAATCGTAATGATAAATTTTTGCGTAATGCATAAACGAATTCATTTTTTTTTATTTTTGTATTTTTTTTCAACTCTGCATGCACGCGCCGGAAAGTTCCGTTTTTACTACTCGGTTATTTCAGGATACTATATCGATTCTTCGAGTCATATCGTAGCCAGTTTTATCGCATTTTGTTCCTCTGTGTACATTGTAACGGCGCTGATTGTTCGTCAACGCGTTCATGAACTTGCGTGGCAGAAAAGCGGATAATTTCCTGATCGTCGCTTTCACTGTGTTTGTTAGTGTCGAAAGAAAGAGAAACAAAGAGCGAGAGCATGCACAGCAATTAAATAGTATCAGGGGGATGGAAGCGTACCCGCGAGAGAGTTGCCATTAAAGCGCGTTAATAGGAAGGCGAATGTGAAAGAAGAGAAGAATGAGAGGCTGCGCCTGGCGGAGATGTTTTCTCTTTGCACTTCATTGTCAATTGTACTGTGCGCGCGAGTGATTTTTTTACAGCGCACCGCACGCGTTCTTACGTCAATTGATTGCATTTGATTCTCGATAAGTCGATAACGAATGTCTGGACTTGTAGCAATAATTTAACTTTTTTCACGTATTAATTTGCTTTACACAGGATTCAGTACCCTTTTTGTCGATAATACGTTTCTCTAACTGCTCTTAATTATAAATGTACGTAAAAAGTTTCTCGTTTTACTACTCTTTTGCAGGGTAAAACGAGCCGACTCTCTCCGTTACTTTTCGCTTCCGCGTTCGTGCGTCAAACGTAGATGACCGATGGCAATCGGATATCGTGGTAAAAAAAAAAAAAAATAAAGTCACGTTTGATCTCTAGTGATTGAAGATCGGAGGCGGAGGAAAGAAAGCCGGGGAAAGTTAGCCGCGTGCACTTTTAAGTCGGCGCATAGACGCCAGGGATAACGGGACGAGGAGGGCGTGAAACTCCGCGATGCGCGTAAATCGCTAACTGAAGCTCGCCTCGTATAAGGCACGTGTCGCTCATCGTAACGTACATACACGTTAACGAGATTCTGTGACAAGTGCGGCTTATGCGGATGTATGTATGTGTGTGTGTGTGTGTGTGTGTGTGCGCGCGTGCGTGCGTGCATGTATGTATGTATGTATGTATGTATGTATGTATGTACGTATGTATAGGTCTCAATCGCGGCAACTTTTTCGCGTGAAAACCGCGATCGAGCACTTGGCCGCACGCGACGCGTTAACACGAAATATAGCGCGAGCACGGTACAACTCGCGCGCTGTAATTAACACTCCCTTGGCTGTGCTGTGCCGCCGGTGTTAAAGTACGTATTCGCGGTCGGTTGGGCTCATTGTGGGCGCCAGCGACGAACGATCGTCGACCATAAAGTCGCAAACCGGGGGAGCGAGGGTTTCCACAGGCGGATTACAAACTCGATCGAATTTTCTTCGTGCCAATACCTGTTGCCAATAATCGCGCCGATTGACTTTCTCACTTAACTAGCAACTTCCGCAGTAAATTTAGTGACCAGAACAGCCCTTAATGCGCGACCGTTGAGCTGCTCTTTTATTTGATATAGAGAGGATCAAGTCGGAGGAAACTTTTCTTGTTACGATGTCTTTAAATGATTACGTTATCTTTAAATTAATTTTTTTTTATTCGTCTGTAAATTAGATGCAAAGACTGTAGAGAGCTTACAGTGGTTAAAAAGATATCTAGTTTTAAAGATCGTATACGTAAAATAGATAAGAGAATCAGGCTGCTTGAGAGTAACTTCATCAAATGAAGGGCCAATCGATTCAACCTAATTCACGCTATATTTGGCTACGACATACATTCTTCGCATTTCGTAGATTTATAATTAACGAACACATTTATACATGTGTGTGTATATATATTTCACTCATTAGATATTCATCTCATTTCCTGAATCTGAAAATATAAGATCGTAAGGCGATCGAGCCACTCACTAACGAATTAAGAAATATTTTGCATACGTGCGTTTTCTCCTAGGATGACCCCATATCTAACTACGAATCAGCTGATCCGATGCGAAAGAACGCTGGTTAACCCCTTAAACGCGAGGTCCCCCTCGTTTCCCGAGAGAGCTACGAGAACAAGTTCCGGCTCAATCCCGAGGCGGGGTACGCACGTGACGGGAGAAATAAGAATTCCCCTTTGTACTGCAATAGAGTCGCACTGTTAGGCGTGTGTGGGATCGTCGTGCGGTGCGCGGCGCGGCTCGACGGGCCGCGCAAAGGCCGCCCAATTAATTAAGATAGCTCCTAGACACACACGCTAGATCGATAGGGACCGGCCGCGATAAAGACTGGCGAGGGTCTCAGACTTCAGGGATGTTGCAGTGCTGTGGTGTTGGAGGTGGCGCTTCCACGGCACCTCAGGCTCCGCAGCTGCACGGGACCGGATCCGCTGTCGGGGCTACCACCTCCACGAGAACCACCATCATGCAGGACGCAGTTCTCGAATCCATCCTGGAGGTGAGCGTTATTCAGCTGCGTCAGCAATCAATGTAAAACAGTTTTGCAGACATTATTCTTTTCATTTTTCAAATTTTATTTTTAAAAATGTGTTATCTGGATTTATCCTTTATTTTGGAAAATATTACTATTTAATCGTTTGTGAGTTTGACAGTATCTTAGTTTTTGATTAAATGCAACCTCTAAGATAATGAAAAATAATTTAAGCAGTTTTTATTTCTTCTTTTTTCAAAGTAAGTAACTTCATCATATTGCTCTTTCTATTTGGAAGAACTGAATTATTTTAAATTTCTGCGGAAATGTATCTTCGGTGAGGCATGCGGAATGTTATTTTGCAGCTGCCAAAAATGAAAGATCCTACGTAGCGATATTAATAAATTCGCGAAACACGTGCGTGCGCTTTGTCATGAATCGAAAGTCCTTGAAATTAAACAGATTACGTGGAAAGGTAATATGCATGTAATCAATACGTATATACACACATACACACACGCGCACGTGCGCGCGGGAAAGTTTATACGTGTAAACCGTCGACAATGAACCGCGGCTCGTGAAAAGCTCTCTTTCACTCTCGGCGCGGCGGCTCGCCGGTACTCGATAAAGCATACGTAATGTGAAAAACAAAAGTTTTTATTAATGCGTTCCGGTAATGATTGCCCGCTCTCGGAGGGAGCTTTAATTCGCCACGCGTAAAATAAACCGCTTAAACTTTGTTAACGATTGAAATTTATGTCGTCCCGCATACGCCGCGACGGTGCCTCAAAGCGGACCCCGGAAATCTGTACGCGGAAAATTAATACTAACCCAGCAGAAGTTCAATCCACCGCAATGGAGATAATTGAGCAATTAATTTCGCCAAGTGGTAAGCAATTTTACGGATTATAAAGCGATCGGCGTCGCTCCATAATTGCCGACTAATTATAAAGAGCCGTTAAAGAGGAGATGTCGAAAAAAACGTGACCCATTGATATTGTCCTCTTGACTTTTTTTAGTGTCATTTTTTTTTACGGAAAAATTTCTACAGCTAGATTGTATATAGCGAGATCAGTTGCAAGCGCACCTTCGGGCAATCGGAGCACAAAAGCCCCTCTTCATTATAAACGTGACATTCTTGTCGCGTATCCAACTACAGGCGTCGCTTCGGGTTATTAAAAACGATGCCTCGCTACCACAAAAATCGAATTAATTTCTTTCTTTATCCGTTATTTTCCACTCCGAGAGAAATGTTGGATATCGTAAACGTACGTCTATAAAATTATATTGAATAATTTAATGTGTATAAGGGAGTTTTATTATAAAATTATACTTATACATTAAATGACATTCCAAAGTGTTATAATTATGCAGTGGCATTTGCACGATGATGTAGGATCACCACGTATTTACCTCAATATGCAAAATAAAATTTATGTTGCAATTAATTTTTTTTAATTTTTTGTATCAAGCATTTATAAAAATACATAAACATTTATCTCCTATATCGCTGCGTGATTTGAAACGATAAGTGGTCTGTAAATAGCTATTATTAATCGAACAACCTTAGCAAATCGCTATCGTGTCTACGTAATGACATTACCATCGCGTAACGTCGATTACGAAGAATATGTCTATCGGACATCGACGAATTTATTTATGACGCTAATTATACGGTCGATTCTTTCAGCAAATGCGGGAGACGGAAGCCCGGCGAGCGGAGCTGGAGAGGCAGCATGCGGACGCACAGAACCAGCTGCGGGAAAAGATAGCAGGACGCTATCAGGGCCCGGAATCGGTCGAGGCGTTGCAGTCGAAAATCCGGGAGCTCGAGAAGAAGACCGAGCTGCAGATGGTGAAGCACGAGGAGCTGTCGCTGGAGCTGACCAGCCTGAGACGTGCGCGCAGCAGAGGACCAGTCGCGGGGCATGTCACGTCCACGAACGTCCCGACGTCCACTTGGCCGCCGGCCGGCTCCGAGATCGATAGAATCATCGCCAAAATCGAGCAGGACAATAGGTATGCAAATTGACGAAACGGATCTCCTCTTAAACGAAAGAAATTGGCTCCGCGCAGTCAGAGCAAACTCTGTACACTTATAGTGGAGTTGTTTTATTTAATTATGCGTGACTTGTAAGCGAATCGCGTGGATTTTTTTATTAATGAAAATAAAATCACAGTGGCAGAATATTGCACGAATTGGACCACACGCGGGGGGCGATAACCACGCAACAACCCTCGGCCACGCAGGGCATCCTCAGGTCCAGTTCGGAAAATCTTCCTAATCTCGGCCAGCATCAGCATCCACCTCATCCGCACGCCCTTAACCTCGGGATGCCTACTCAGATGGGCCACGTACGTAATCCATTTACGTAATATTATACAATGTTGCATAATCTTTCTCCCTAATCTTTATTAATACGAGAAATTGGATCGAGAGAAAAACGTTAGTTTCAACAAGAATAATTCTTTAAGTAATTACTTTCTCATTGCGATCTGTATACTTTTTGGTATATTTGCTGAATATTGATAAGGTCTATTCGAACAGTACGCAGGTTCACCAATGCCATTAACGCCGATGATGCCTGGTTGTCCTCCATTGACGCCTAACGGACCACCATATCACTACAGCGAGCCAATACCGCCGGCACCGTCACTCTCCAGCAGTCAGTCGCAGCCCGCTTTCCAGCAGAAAATTCAACAGTACCAGCAGCAGCAGCAGTCGCAGCACGAGATGTCGAGCTCTCATTCTCAAAGCGCTCTACCGTCTCAGCAGAAACAAACGCACACCTCACACTTCACAAGCAATCAGTATCAGGAGAGCTATCCGCATACGCAAACGTATCAGCAACCGCTTCAGCAGCCGCAGCAACAGCAACAACAGCATCCGGCCTCGACCACGTACCTGACATCGGCCAGCCAGAGCGTGATACCTCACTATACACAGCCTGCCCAGACCGCCCAGAATTATCAGTTGAATGGGAGTCAACAGGTGTGTCGTCAATTATTCAATCGTGATTACTTTCTTATAAGCATGTAAACAAAGTAATGAATTCTTGGCAGACTATAAATAGAATGAATGGCACTGCTTTTGGTATTCAGCTTACGAAATATTTATCTAGAATAAATCCAATCAGTTGCAAATTATTCAAACATCGCAATTTTTTATAACGACTACATTTAATTTTATTTCTATTGTGATATTGATAATATTACAATAGAACCGATATTAATAAGTTACGAAAAATAAGACGGCTATAAATTTCACAACGGTTAATTTGTTCCGCGCGCAGGCAACGACATATCCTAGTTTGTCCATGGCCTCGCATCCAAACGGAACATACAGCACGGGCGCGACCAGCTACAACACTCAGTTGCCGCATCACAACTATACCGTACCGCAGACGAACATCACGCAGACAACGCTGTCCTCGCTGCCGCTGTACTCCACCACGTCCTTTCACTCCACCCTCGGGGGACTCACGAGCGTACCCCAGTCCGTTCTTCCTTTCTCCACCGGTCAGAGCACCTTCGCCTCCAGTGGAAGTGGATCGACATACTCCACTACCGTCGGGACCAACGCTTTCGGGACGCCAGGCGTAAGCTCAGGTCAGAATCGCGTCGTTAAAAGATTTAGTCTGCAGTGTAATATTTTTAAGAATCTAAAGAACGATCAAAATTTTTTTTCGATTTCAGAAAAATAAATCGTAGCATTATTAAATTTTTGGCTCAGTATTTTTTTAATATAAAATATTGTATTTATATATAGACAGCATGATCGGTTAACAGCGTTAGTTTACCGTTCTGTAACGCGTGCCTGTGCAGGTACTAGTTCGGGAGGCCTGTTACAAGCAATAGGCGATCCTCTGCAAGCGATGCAGCAACTCTCCGCCCAGTCGCAGGCAAATCAGCTTCAGCAGCAGGCGATTATCCAGCAGATCCAGCAGAGCTTGCGCGCCAGTTCGCCGACCGCGCCCGGTACCGCGACCGGCCACCATTTTCTGGGTCCTAGGCAAATGCCGAAGATTCCCACGAGTATACTGACGAATCCCCTGGACCGACTGACCAACACCGAGGACATTATTTCCGAGGGTCAAGTGGACATGCTGGACGTACCCGGCAAGGGTAGATGTTACGTTTACATAGCTCGCTTCAGCTACGAGCCGTTCCAACATTCGCCGAACGCGAATCCGGAAGCGGAGCTACCGGTCCAGGGCGGCGACTACCTCTTGGTCTGGGGCCAGCCCGACGAGGACGGTTTCCTGGACGCGGAGACGCTCGACGGTAGACGCGGTCTGGTGCCGGCTAACTTCGTGCAGAAGTTGGTCGGTGACGATCTGCTGGAATTCCATCAAGCCGTTCTCGGCCTCAGGGACGTAGACGATTCCGTCTCGACAAATATCCCTCAAGTGAGCAATATAAACTAATGAAATATTATATATAACGAGCTGATAAGTTTATATTCTACTTGCATTTATATCTCCGCGATAAACAGGATCGACATCACGATATTATTAATATCCGGAAATAATGAGAGCATTTATCGAAATTTTCTTTATTTGAAGAATGTTAAGTAGATGATAATTATAATTCAAATTTGATTTATTTTAGTGCTATCTGCAAGATATTGATTTAGAATTAGCCGCGTTGGAAGAAGGAAACCGGAATCGTCAAGCAGAATTAACCGCGTACGCGGAACTCGACAATATCGCGGAGGAGGATGAGCAGGAACCACCAGGTTAGTACGCTTTATCAATTCGTTGTGACATTCCGCAAAATGTTGCATGGCGCAAATCCTTAACGCTTATTAGATTATTAGAATAGAATTAGATGATATAACGCATATAAAATATATATCCGCAATCCAGTAAATATGTAGATATATATGGTACTTGGATCACCTTTATAGAAAAACAGTTTCGCTTTTAGCGATGTGCTTCAAACGTTTTTCCGACAACCTGTACACGTTTTCAAAATAACACGATCCGTGACGCAGCTATAAAAATTTTTCTCTAGAGAAAATCTCGCTTCCACAATTTATCGATCCTACTTTACGTGCGTGCATGTGTATGTTCAATTCGATGTTGAATAAACCCAAGAGATAATATTGAAATACCCTCGGTGTATTCGTACAGCTTCTTCCCTTGCTCCATTCGTTGTGCACGTTTGATTAAATTTGGAACGAGAGTTCTGTACACGTCACACGGTATAAACGTCCACGCCTGAATCCCGAATCCGGTTTTCACGGAGTGAATAGTCACAAAATGAAATGGAGAACACAGAAAATCGAAAATCGTTGCACTGTGTTAAGTGTTGGCTGGATTTAGGCTGGCTTAGAGAGATAGACGATAGTGAGAGATCCTTAGCTACAGCTAGGCTTTGTCTTTGTCTTTTCCTCCTGAAGAAGTCTACATGTTTTCGGACCTAGTTCCGGCGCCGCAGCACCTCACCCTCGAGCGGCAACTCAACAAGAGCGTGCTGATCGGATGGACTGCGCCCGACAACACGCACCAGCTCGAGTCCTACCATGTCTACGTGGACGGCGTGCTGAAAGTCACGGTGAAGGCCACCGAGAGGACCAGGGCCTTGGTGGAGGGGGTCGATTCTACGCGGGTTTGTAATAAAATCCTTTACTCATTAAACTTTTCAAAAGGAATTTACGATACAAAGAAAAACTGTAAATTTTAATTAAAGTCATAATTATTAATTAATACGATTTACATAATTATTATAATGTGTAATAGGAGAGAATATTTATATATGCGATATACTTAAAAAAGTTCTTTAAACAATAATTAATATTTTAGATTGGCACACGAAGTTTAAATATAACTCTAAGATTTCAGGGCATGTAACAGAATGTGAAGGATTGATTTGTATAAAAATATCAGATGTAACTTTCTTTATGTAATTTTAATCGAAATTATTCTTTCGCTGATACAGCCGCACAGGATAAGCGTGCGCTCGGTCACGCACTCGAGAAGGACGTCGCGCGACGCCGCTTGCACGATGGTGATCGGTAAGGACATCGCGCTCGGCCCAACCGCCGTTAAAGCGTCGAATGTCACGGCTACTAGTGCCGTGATATCCTGGCTACCCAGTAACAGCAATCATCAGCACGTCGTATGCGTGAACAACGTGGAAGTGAGGACCGTGAAGCCGGGCGTCTACAGGCACACCATCACCGGCCTGGCACCGTCGACGATATACAGGGTGACCGTCAAGGCGAAGAATCTGCGGGCGACGCATTTTGAGGACCAAAATGCCCAGGCGGCAAACAACCTGGCCTGCCACGTCCACTTTAAAACGTTGCCCAAAGGACTACCGGATCCTCCGGTCGATATCCAGGTTAATATAAATATAATCATCTCGTATCTTGTATCTTACAATTTTAAAATTTTCTAGGACTAGAATAAAAACTCTGACAGCAGCGTTAAATTCCGATATTTTCCAGAAATGGAATAAAAATTCGGTGACCAGAGTTACTGGATTTTCTAGAATTTCTGTCAACGATTCTTTAAAAAAAAAGTTCACTATAGGCACTAATGATACGCGGCTGTTATCCAATTTCCAGGTGGAGGCTGGACCGCAGGACGGCACTTTGCTAGTGACCTGGCAGCCTGTTGCCCTAAACGGTTCGGCCGTCACCGGTTACGCGGTGTACGCCGATGGTAAGAAGGTCACCGATGTTGACAGCCCCACCGGGGACCACGCGCTCGTCGACATACACAAGCTCATGGGTCTCAATCCGAAGCATATCACCGTCAGGACTAAGAGCAGGGAGAGTCAGTCGGGCGACAGTTGTGCAACAGCAATACCCTGCAGCGTGCTCCGTGGTGGCCCCACTCACATGCCGCCTCATGGACTTCCGCACATGGTGGATCAACGGCAGCAGCAACAGTCCGCCATGGGTCCCCAACAGGACGATCCCAATCGACATCGCATGGCCAGCGGCGTGGCTCAGCGATACCCGAACGCGCCCGTGCCCTCGCATATGCGACGGCACGTGGCCAACCGAGTAGACGCCCACGGTCAGGTTATCATCGAGACGGACGAGAATCTCTCCGATAAGGAGATTTACCCCGGACAGAGCATTCCTCAGATGGGTAAGGATCTAGAGATATAAAGAAGCAAGGGAATCTGGGTTCGCGATGACAATGAATGACTTCCGTACAAACCCAAGCTCCCCCTGCGCGATTTATAACTTTTGCTTAATCGCGATTTTTCAATTATCTCGTCTAGGAATTCCAGAAATCACAAAAGATTCTGCGAGCGAAGCAAATTATAGCGAGGAGGACGATCCCACGCGAAGATCGCGGGGAATGCCACCACAGCATCACGGCCCGCATCATCGATATGGCCCGCAAATGGATCCTCAGGGCCCGCCTGGAGCACATAGATCTCCTAGCATGAGCGGTCCGAGCAGTAGATCGCAAGATCCTTATTATGACCAAACGGGTAGATATAATGGCCACTGTGTTGCTGTGATGGAATTCTTTGCATTCTTTGCATCAATTTCTAATTTAACAATAATTTCATTTTTCCTTCTATAATTAATTCTTTCTGGAGAATTGCTGTTTATGTTACAACTCTGAAGATAAACCCTGAATGTACATGGCACTCTTCTCTTCTTTCGGACTCTCTTCTCTCGCTGAAGTGTTTGATGTAAAATAATAATCATGCTGTCTAATCGTCTATCAACTTTAAGTGTACAAAATAAAGCCACGAGTCACGTTATTGTATTCGCTTTTTTTTTAAATATTGTTCAGGAGCTCAAAGGGGAAGAGGACCGGTTTATAGGACTGGCGGACGAGTACCACAGGCTCAAGGTGGAGCGAGTCACCCACCGAATGTAGCTCAACAAATGAACAAGAGGCAACGGTGGTTCGTGGCGCTATTCGACTACGATCCTACGACCATGTCACCTAATCCAGATGCGTGCGAGGAGGAATTACCATTTTCCGAAGGCGATACCATCAAGGTTCTCAATCTACATTATTCTTATTTATTATTTGTGATAAATAAAATTATAGCAGAATATTTTAATTTAGTTTAAATTAAATTAAAAAATTGAAACTATTTTAATTAAATTTAAATTAAATGTTTTCTATAAAAATTATACATATTAAATCTTTCTTATAAAATTGAGATCTTAAGGCACATTTAATTTAACAATACTTGATTAATATTTATATCTGTAAATAATAACCATTGAACTGCATAAAAGTAAAATCTTATGCATTTTTCCATAGGTGTACGGCGACAAAGATGCTGATGGTTTTTACTGGGGCGAGTGTCGCGGTAGGCGAGGATATGTTCCTTATAATATGGTGGAAGAACTTAAAGATCCACCGGGTCAAGTACAGCCTGGTAGGAGAGGGCCTGCACAGAGCGAGAGATGGGGGGATATTTATGCGAGTATGCCTGTGAAGAAGATGATAGCCCTTTACGATTACGATCCTCATGAATTGTCTCCTAACGTTGATGCTGTAAGATTTTTATCGTAATACTCTGAATTAAAAAATTCATCCATACACATATTTGAATACATATTCAAACGGAGTCTTAAAAATCCGCTAACTGTAGATAATTAATTGATTACTACACGTTGAGATATAATGATAAAATAATTTACATGTTTTCATTAATAGTTTTCGTTAATGTTATTAATTCATTAATCATTATTATTCATTAATCCTACTAATTGCCATAATTTTGCAGCAAGTCGAGTTAACGTTCCAAACCGGAAACGAGATATATGTTTACGGCGATATGGACGATGATGGATTTTACATGGGCGAGTTGAACGGCGTGCGCGGTTTAGTGCCGAGTAATTTCCTCACCGAGGCCCCGGGACAGAATCAGGGCCAGCCGCCGCAGGGTAGCAGACGACCCGGCGGTCAGAGCCAAGGACCGGGCGCGAGGGGTCCACCGCCACCTCCTCGGGAACCACCCCCGGCCGGTCATCGACGTGGCAAAGGTAAACACGCAATCAGATACCCTTCATATACATCAATCCTCCTTATAGTACCCGATTATCAGGGCATGAATATAGCTCCTCAAGCCAAGACAACAATCGGAAATTAATTGTGTGTTCTGCACGAGGAGGAAAAAAGTTTGCTGTTCTAGCGTATTTTATATTGTCATAACAAATTCGGTGGAAAGAATTCATTAAGAATACCAATTTTATTTGCTACATTTACTTATCTTGCTTTGCAGCAAATTCATGTTTCCGCAAATAAATTCACTCGGTGAGATTTTTTTTTTTATTTTGTCAAGAGATTTTACTGTAATGTCAATTACAAAAACAACAATTGCTTTTGATAATGAATGCATTATCGCATCATGTATGTATAGTAGCAACAACAGTTTTGCTACAGCAGCAAAAATCTTTTTCTCCGTGTGTATATCGATATTGTTTTGACGTTCCCAATCACCGTGAGTGTTTTGATGTTAAAAACGCAGCATCCGCAGCGCAATGCAAGAAGCGCAAACTGCCAAATTGTTAAAAGCCAGAAGAAAATTGGTTTCCGCGGTAAGTTAGAGTATTGCCGTATGAGATTCAATCTCCTCGCGGATGTTGGAACTGGCTCGAGGGGTTGTTGACGTTTACACACCGACGCGACGCATTTTAGTATCTTAAACAATTGAGCACTGAGCAAACGTGCGTGCATTTCGTATATATTATTCCTCGTGAAAATGCAATCGATAACGATCGCGTCGGTGTGTGCAAAAGAACGGAAATGCAAGCGTCAAGCAACACAAAGACACGAAACCAGATGTGCCAGACGACAGGCAGAAGGGCCACACTGATATTTTGGTTCAGCGTTACGCAATCTGGCGAATTCGAATTGATATGCAATTCGAGCCGAATGAGCATGCGGCGTATAATTAGATGGAAATTATTTTGGAGCAAGGTGTGCATACCGCGTGTCCGACACGCCCTTATTACACGTGCCCTCTCGACGCGAGAGGGCAACCCCCCGTTGTGCCGCTTCACACGCACCACCGGTTTTTTTTTCTTCCAGCAATGTACATCGATACCCACGCTCTCGTAGGCATTTAACAAACGTGTCATGTTATTCTGTTAATTGTTGCCACGATCGTCAACGTTTACAAGTTACTATACACCGATATAGAAGTTGTCCGCGTCTCACATGTATATAAAGAAAATTTGGTGAACGTCCGTGGAAACACGTGCTGTCATACACACGACGATAGATTATATATTTATATATATATATATATATATATGCAATAAAACACCAAGCTGCTTTCAATGTCTTCTATTATATAAGTATATATCTAACGTATATATATGTTTATATACGTATATATGATTATATGTACCTATGTGTATATACGTATATTTATATATATATATTTTTTTTTCTCTCCGGGCACTATCTGCCTCTGTTACTATTACTCTACGTATCTGTCCTATTCTCTCTGTCTATATTATATACATTACGTATATATTATATATTTACACTATATATATTTATCTGACTGATTATATACACACGATCATGTCGCTGTGATATATAACAGTTTACTTTATACCGACATGATCTGTTTTTGTGTGCCTGAACTGATCGATGGTCGTCGTGTCACATGATTGTCGTTCGTGTCGTGTTGTCATGCTGGCCATTTACGATTTACGTTGATCTTTCCGTTTGTACATTTTTGATCGGACGATACAAAACCATAACGATAGACGGTCGCGCGATTTTCGTCCACGAATACCGGAGAACGAACGGCGACGTCCGTGTCTGTGTCGCGAGAAACTCGCGTGACTTATAACAATACCTCGTCAAGTAATCCCCGGGACTCTTCACGCGATCATTCGAATAGATCTCATCGGGACGATCTGTTTCGCGCTGCCCGCGGCATCTTCGAAATCTCGATAGTATACATTCCGGCATGCTCGATCGACTCGAAGGAAAAAAAAAAGACAAAAATAAAATAGAGAAAAAAAAAGTAAAGGAAATGACAAAGAAAAGTAAAAGATAAATGCGCCATAAATGACAACACGGTTCTGTTCTCTTCTCTGTTGCTAGATGCCTGCATTGTGCCTGTGTCTGTCCCTGTCTGTCACTTAGACTCTAGACAACTACAACAACCACCACCACCATCACTAATGAACAACCAACAACATCAACTACAACATCAAAACAATCCACCGCATCTAGCCTATCAACAAGCGAATCACCACAGCTACACGACCGTAACCACGTCCAATCAGCATGGGCCCAGTCACTTGCCACCCGGCGGCGGTGTCATGGGTGCCCATCAGCAAGGTCCCGTACTGCCCCACCTTCAGCAACAGGTGAGCCCGCTCCTCTTCCGAGAATTTCTTCGTGCGCTTTCTCTTTCACTTTCTATCTCTCTTTCTCTCTCTCTCTCTTTCTCTTTCTCTCGTGTGCTTTTTGTCGAACGTATGTGCTTTTTATCCACACTTTTTGTGCGCTTGTTCTTCAGGTACATCGAAGCTTCCACAATCACAACGATTGTCCATGATCGACAAGTCGTTGCTCCACGCGCGACCATAAGTTGCCAATTTCCTTTCGAAGAGAAATGGAGAGAGGAATAAATCAATGAATTTTTCGTTACCAAAGCTGCGACATTCTGGAGCGAATTAATATTTTCTTATTACTTTTGCATTTCATTAGGATTTCTGTTTAGGATGCGTCCAAGCGACAGAATATTCTTTTTTTTATTTACTTTTGCATATAAATAAAATATAGATATCAGATTCAGTTATAGAAACGGGAATTTCACGAAAAAAAAAAAATATTTTTATGCATTTTTCATTACATGTCGCTCCTTGTGCTTTGCTATCAGCTCTAACTCGCGATTCTATCTTTGCTAGAAATAATTATTGAATAATTTTTTAATTCTCTTGCATGAATGCAAAATATATTAAATATATAAAGAAGTATTTTAACTTTTTTATAGAGCGAATTTTTTGAAATATCAATTTTTCAAATGCAATGTGGCCTGAGAAAAATTCGCTAGGTCATTTTTGATTAATCTGACGGCTGTTTGAATCGGTATTTTTGCATTTTACTTAGTCGTATCTGTCCTTCTTTTTGCAAGTATGAGTCGCGCTTTATTGCGGAACACGCGTACCGAAGCGTGGGCTTTGTGTGTCTCGTGTCAATGTATTTTCGTACATATGTGCCATGTGAAACGCTTTAAATCGTGCAGCATGCCGTAGCGTCGTCTTATTTGATCTGCCTTCATTTTAAAGATCATCGCAATTGAGAAAAAAAAAGAAGAAAAATAAGAGGAAAAAAAAACATACTTCGCGCCTCGATAAATCATCGCGACACGAATGTCCTACACTAACACATATTCTACAAGGGGACGAATCGAGAATACAACACGGAGATCTTTATAAAATTTCGTTCGTCCTTACGTTACCTTACCTTCTCTTATATCGAAATTTATACTCAGTATTTCTTTCTGTCGCCAATTATTTTTTTACCATTATACAAGACAGAGGTCATCACATATATCTTTCGAATTGCCGACAATTTATTTGCGTTAGCGAACCGTAGAATGATAGAAAAATAGTCTCGCAGAGGTGGACACTAGCCGGAGTAACGATAGAGCGCGCGTGATAGAGCTAGGCGAAAAAAAAAAATAGACACGTATCTATCCGTTTATTAGCGATTGGATATCAACATGATAAGAAAGCGAGACAATTATTGTCGAGGGAGAGAGAGGCTCCGAATTAACCATGTCCCTTTGCTTTTAGGGGAAGGGGAGGGGCGGCGTGGTCAATCGGGTCGCTGGTAGTAACATGCCGGGTATGCAGGTCCCGGGCCAGCACCTCCAATCGCAAGACTATCAAGGCCAGCAGCAAATGAATCAGCCGTATCAGCAACAGAATCAACCGTATCAGCAGCAGCAAATGGGCCAACAGCCGAATCAGGGATACCCGCCGCAACCGACGCAACAGTTCCAACAACCGCAGTCGCAGCAGCAAATGGGCCAGCCGTTCGCGCAGCAGAACCAGCCGATCGGCCTCGGGATGCAAATGGGCGGTCCTCAGGGCGCCAGCAAACCCATGAGAGGGATACCGGCGGTGCTGCCGACGGCGCAGTCCAAGACGCAGCCTACGATGCAGCAGCAGCAGCAGCCGCAGCAGCAGAGCACCGGGCCGAATCTGATGCAGAAGTTCACCGAAATGGCGGGCGCGAGTGCGGGCGGCGATATACTCTCCAAAGGGAAGGAGCTGATCTTTATGAAGTTCGGATTGGGCAAGTGAGGAGGAGCGATCGCTGACGACGTGACGATGACGGTGACGATGATGGTAACGACGACGCGTTGTCGCGATCGTTTCCTCCTCGTTCTCCTCGCGCTCGGCGTCCGCGTGCGCGCGAGCAAATCAATCTCGTCGATCGCGAGCTGTGTGCGAATCAGTATTACGACGCGTACGTCGTTCGACGACGGCGAAAAACGCGCAACGAGAGAACGCGATTTCACCGGACGTTGTTGCTGAAAGACAAAGAGGATAAGGCGAGAAAGAGTGTGCCGCCATTGCTGCTGCTGCTGTTACTGCTATCGTTGCTACTCGCTACTAAATAATTGTTACCTACAGCAAAGTAAAGAGAAAAAAAACCGTCGCTGGACGAATATAAAATCAAGGATGAGCCTCGCGATTAAAGGAAGGGGGAAAGAACGTTCGGTGGGGACTGCTCGAGACGAGAAGAAAGGGTGATCCACGCCGAGAATTGTCTTGACGATTCCACCGATCGAGAAAAAACAAGAGATACGTACAAGATTCATCGAATTTCTTCTCAATCCTCCTTTTTCCGAAATCTTCTTCTGCTACTTCGTCTTTTTCTTCGCGCGACGGTAGGATCCTCGATCGGTGCTGCGCGGTCCGTTGAAGAGAGAGATACATGTCGATATGCTCGTCCGTGTCGCGGAATCTCCTAAAACATACACGAGATAATCAATCACGGAATGAAATATATTTCTGCGAAAATATATTTCGAGCGACGGCGCACCAAGTCATGTAAATCGCGTATCTCGTACGCGACTGTTTCTTCCAAAATCTCTCTTCGTCCTCTTTGCGTTATTCGGAGCGCCATTCGGTTCTCAGAGTAAAATAAAAATATAAAAAAAAAGAGAGAGAAATCTTCGTTGCGATGCGGATTGTATCGAGTGTGCGTAAAAGAGAGAGAAGTAACCCGCGTTAACGTGAAGTCCGTACACGCAAAAACCGAGTCACTGGCAGAGCGAAGCTGGAACAAGGCCGACGTCGAATCTTTCGTCGCGTGGACGGAAGAGAGAGAGACAGAGGCCAACCTACCTAAGGGATAATCATATCGCCGTATAGGAGTGAGGACGCGACAAACAACGTGGGTGTGCCTTGGGAGAACCGTCTCACCCAGCAGCAACCAATGATCATATCTCTAATCGATAATTCTCTAGCTATTTTTTCTTTCTCTCGTGGAAATTGAGCGCGCTATATCGAGAGAGCCGTAGCGGCGCGTACACGATGACGATCTCTCGTCTTGACAATTTTCTCTTGTTCCCGTATGCATGTGCGTGTGTGTGTGCGTGTGTCTGTGCGTAAGTGAGACTGGACGCCCCCTTATTTTTTTCCCTCCTCTTCGCATATTCCCTTACTTTATCCCGTGTCCTTCGCTTTTATTCTAGCCCGAATGGACTTGCGCGCGGATGGAATCGTCGCGTCCGAACCGCGAGAGATAGAGAAAGAGAGATCTTCGTGTTTTCGGCCACTCGGATGAATCTCGGGATCGGGATCGCCTGTTCGGATCGGGAGAGAATCGGAAACGAATCCAAGACGATGCCCGGGGATGAACGGCGACGTGGCCATTTATCGTCGGACTTGTCTTGAACGAGTCGCACGCAGTACGGAGACACCAATGAAACGCAGACACGAGACGCTACGATCCTTCGATCGGGGCGGGCGAATTGGCCGCGTATCAAACGACAACTATATATCACAACTATGTGTGTATGAGAGGGAGAGAGAGAGAGAGAGATAAACGAGATGGAACGGGAGATCATAGCGTATTAAATGGTAACGGGATATACATATATACATATGCATATACAGATATACATATATATACATATATTATATTTAACTATTGCAAAGTGTTGTTACATCGCTACTTGTATCGTATTTTGTACAAAGTATCTTTACCTTCGATTGTTTTCTTTCGCCAAGATATCTTTAGCAAAAAAAAAATATATATGGCGGAGGAAGAGCGACAAATCTTTTCCGGATCCACTATCGAATCATTCAACAGCATCATCATCGTCATCGTCGTCATCGTCATCACATTAGTATCAACGTCACGCCATTAACGCAATCTTGTACTTAATTGTTACTACTCGCGCCTGTCCTGTGTGTGTACTCGCTTTTTGTATGTTTTTTCGGCGACGATGAATATATAGCGAGACAAGCTCGAGATTTTGAGGAGAAGGGAGCACCGCGGTAAGGAGGTAATCACTTTCGTCGAGAAATGAAGCAATTTCTAGAAAAAAAAAAACCCAAGATCGCGATACAATCCTTTCACCCCTATCAGGGCATGCGTGTCCCACTGCAGCTTTAATGATTTCTTGGAGGACAATATAACTCGTAATATAATGATGTTGCAACTACACTTTGTTAGAGTTTAGAATGTATTCTAAGGTGGGAGAGAAAGGGTTAATATTGCGATGTTTAGGAAAAAGATAATAAAAGTAACGTTAACCTTCTAACATAAACGGAACAATATTAATGAGACGCATAATAGGAACATCATGTATACGTCATTTATGGACCAAAAAAAAACTAACGAAAAACTAACGTTAAAGAAAAGTCGAAATTCACTAAATGAAATAATCAAATAGCACGTTTTTCGTTTATCGCGTCCGCGATAGATATCTTACGAATTAACAACAATTTATTGTCGATTAGAGTTTTCCATGCGCAAACTGTTAAGACTGGAGTGAAACGATTATCGGGAATTATCATTTAAATGATAAGACCGTAAAAAGCGCTGTAAATATTAAGATACGTATATAGAAATTAATTGCGAGAGACGGATGTATCTCCCTGACGCGGTGCTTCCGCTTCGCACGAGCTTACGGATGAACGATTATATGCTTGCATGGGGTGAATCTGTCTGAATCAAAAGTAGACAGAAGACGACGGTATTCGAATGTCGAAGCATCTGTTGCTTTTACTTTTTTCATTTTATTGCTGCCTTGTCGCGCGTGATAGTATGATAGAACAAAATAATACTCGGCTTCGAACGTGCGTCGGTCGATCGTACAGATCCGGTTGTGTAGCATCGCACGATCGAGCGAGAGACGCGAGAGAGAGAGATCCGTCGCTTTCTCTGCGACTGTTCGCGTGGAATAAATCCGCGAAGATAATCGATGCACCATACGTAATGATTTGCAACGGCGGGAGCTCCGCTTGCACAGTTATTTTCATCGCGTTGTATTTTTCAATTAGAGATTGTACATAAACATTTTAAAGCGAAAGAGAGAGAGAGAGAGAATATTAATTCTCGTTTACGGAACTACACGACTGGACGATTCTCGGGTAGTAACCGAGTGGAAAGTGATAAACGACATTATTTATTAGAGACACGTGTCCCCTTTCGCGGCTTCTTCTGCGGCTTTTCGTTCATTGTTCCTCCCGCCCCCTTCCCCGCTCCCCTCCTCTCACGATTAACAATTTTTCGCACTGTATTACAACACCGAACTCATATCCAACTCTAGTAGTCTTGATTCAGGCGAATGTGAAGAAAAAAAGACTGATACCGAAGTTTCCGAAGTTGCCGCGGGTGATTATAACGAGTACCAAGACGCTAAATAGCGAGTGTGTGTAATCTCTCACATATGTCGCGGTCGTTATGTGTCTTTCTTCGATTGTTTTCTGCGTTATCCCACGTTATCTCTATAATATTAGCCGTGTATAGCTCTCTTTCGCGCGAGCGAGAAAGTATATACATATTTGTTACGGACTTAAAATTGATTATAGGCGTAAAGAAGGAGAAGGAGGTAAAAGAAAATGAGAGAGAATTATTGGAGCATACGCGAGATGTCGAGCGGGTTCCGGCAGGAAGCGGGTCTTCGAAGAAGGGAGGAAATATTGTGAGAGAAAGAGAGAGAGAGAGAAACTAATCGTCGATGCGGCGCGCACATATTAGTGCTTTTACTTACGGTACAAAGTTGATCAGAGAGAGAAAGAGAGTGAGAGAGAGAGAGAGAGAAAGAAAGAAGAGTAAGCATTTTTACTTATCATCGTTAGACTTTTAGATATGATCACTCTAAAACGCACCTATATGACTTTCACGGCGAACGGACTCCATGTATCTCGCGTTAAGACGAGTTCGTACGGATCATCTCGCGCGACGCCCATCCTCTTCGCGCGGTCCAGACCAAGCGCCAGCGATTCAACCGCGATTCGATCGTTTATAAGAGAACAATAAAGTAGCGAGAGACGCGACGAGACGATCGAGCGCGGATATAGAATTACGCGGGCGGTACCGCTTGTGAAGGCTCCCGATCCGTCAACGAGTTAGAATGTCATAATCATTGGATCACATCTACGAATTATATTCTACGGGAAAGCCGTGATGATATTCGTGTGATAATTAAAAGTCTGAATTCGTTTGACTCGCGTTTCAATGTGCGATTAAATGGTCGATCCTCCATTCCTAATCTCATAGAGCTCTATATAGCGATGCGATCTTGCAATGTCCTGTCGAATGTAAATTGCTGTCTGTTAACGTTCCACACCCGACGGTTTCCTCTCGTTGTAAGTTTTATCGGAAGGGGTAATTCCTTCCCTTCTCTGCGCGACTCTGCGATGACGGATCGTCGGGCCTTATCTCGGCGGTACCAGTCGGCGTACCTAGGAGTCTACGGAGTACTTCTCGGGATCGTGCCTCACGCCTCTGTATATCTCATTGTACATTCTCATCGTTACCGACTTTTAGCCTCTGAATGGGACGATCCGTGTAGCTCCCTTTTGATATCGTGGCGATCGGTGTCGAGGACCGAAATCGACTGGCGAGCGAGCGAGCGAGCGTGCGAGCGAGAGAGCGAGCGAGCGAGTTCTAGAATGCTGAAAGGAACGCAGGTGCGCCCAACAATCCTCCACAATTTTCCGGACGTTTCTTTCGGTCTTCGTAGATACCTCTTAGGCGTAAGGCACTGGGTTGATTTTTCACCTACTAGGTGTCGAATAGAATAAATATAACGCCCGCCCTCCGCGCAGTCATATACACACACGACACATACATACACACACACACACATATACACCCCAGACCGACACGCGTTGATACGAGTGTCCGTTTGACTGTCTCTGAGAGCGTTTCTCCGACAGTAAAGCGTTTCGCAAATTGATCCTTCATTTTTCGAGCGCTGAAAAATTGTGGGCTCGCGAAAGATTAAACGCGAGCTAAATTCGGCGATTGGCAGTTTTAAACTCTCTGAGTGTGATTTATTTTTAGGAATTTGTCGAGATTGGAAAAAATTATCGAGCTTTCCGGTCTTAAACGGACACCGGCGAGATCGACGACGATGTCGTTCTGGGAACCGCGGACTTTCGTTTCCGCTAGGAAGGCTTCACAGACGGAGGGAGGAGAGCGCTATAACGAATCAAAGTGACTGACAGAGAGGGTCGATGTAAGGAGGAGGGCTATCCGAAGCTATCCGGACGGTGTTAATTAGTCGCCAATTATTGTCATTCTTTCTCTCGTGTCGACATTAAGGACGTATGAAGCGGGAGCAGGAGGTAGCGCAAATCGACTATATAAACACGTTTCAATATAAACGAAAAAAAAAAAATTATAATAAAAAGGAAATATATCGCGTCGTCTCTTAAGCATGCCAAGAGAGAGAAACGCCAGCTACGTTTGTCATTCAGTAATCTTGCGCTTTGTTTTTTCTATGAATCGGTGCGTGACGATCTTACTCCTTGTTAGATCGAGGTGAAGTAAGAGAAACAGGAGAAAAAAAAGAAGCTGCTATATATACATACACACACACACACACACACATATATATATATAGCAATATATGAAGAGAAAAGGGGAGATTTAAGAGAGCCCACAAAAAAAACACACACACACAATGTTATTATAAACGATTAATTAATAAAAAACGAATCTTGTTTGTTGTTACTTCTGGTATACCTCGTTGTGGACCATCGCACCGATTTATCGCTATAATTTGCTCGTCTTTCGAGTTTCCTCTCAAACTACGTTATTTTTCTTTTTTTTTTCGTTTTATAGATTACGAGTCTGACGGACACAGCTACGGACGGGAGAGTACTTAACTGATTCAGTCGGAAACCAGAATGCTCAATTTTTATTTAGTACGTATCATAATGAGTATACAATATATCGAATCGATATATACCTGTCACGTCAAAGAGTATTGTGGGACTAAGAGTATTTTTTTTTGCGTGACGACAAGACGATCTCCTCAGGACGACGGCACAGTCTACGTGTCTTCCTCCCAGACGGTCTCCGTGAGTATGGCGATGTTGTCCAGGCCGCGCATCGGTGCGTACTCGAGCGTCCACATCACGTTCGTGAAAACGACTGCGGCAATGTTATGAATATAATTTACCAACGAGGAAATACCATTGCACACGTCATTATCGCAAAATAACGCGTGAGTCTGATATACGTATATATTTGAGATAAAATTTTAATGGCATTCGCGAGGTCGTCGCTCCAATTTTATCATCCGACTTTAGATAGGTTCGCAATAATTATTTTATATCCGATTCCCGAGAGGCAAGTAAAATTAAAGATATTTGGCAAATGAAATTCAAATTGAATTTCTATCGTGTGAGGAATAGAGTTGTATAGCATCACGGATGAAATATAATTAATTCGGAAACATCGATTGCTCGCAGTAACGGTTGACAATATACTTGGGCAATACTGAAGTTTTAGATTTAGATTAAGAGAAATATATATATATATACTTCGTTTTGCGAGATTAATTATCCAAATGGATAATTAATATAATAAGCAAATTTTCAATTGCAAATTCGATTTATTACAGCCCAATTCCCTGTGTGTGTTTGCTCGCCATCACTATGCAATTTTTGCCAGAAGTACGGAACATCTTTTAGCCAGCAAGTAGAATTAAAAGTCGAAGGGTTTTTAGTTACTATATTATTATACGTATAAATAATTCAACCATTCTAAATAACAATTGCAAACTCACTAGAAATACTTTAGCGTTGCCTTTTCGGAACGCCAGCCAGTCCGGCTTATCGCGTGCTGTTAAAGGTGCCCCGTACTTCAGTCCAATGTCAATCGCGGCACTTACGCATCTCGCCCTGATGCAGATCGGCGATCAGCTCAGGACACGAGCTGTTGCATGGGTTTATAGGGGTGAGACGCAGCTGGGTCGCGCCGCGGAGCTGAGCGAGGGCTATCAGACCGGAGTCGAGCTCGACCTTCTTGTAGCTCGGGCTGTTGTAGTCCGAGGACATGAGCACCCAGTTGAAATGCGCCGGCGAGACCGTGCTGGAGAGGAAGTACGGTCGTTGATAGTACTTTCTGAGGACCTTCACGGCGTTGATGTCGCAGTTCTGCCAGTGGACGAACCACTTGGCCACCTCGGGCGCGTGCACGCGTCGCAGAAACGCCGCGAGGTCGGACGAGCCGGTACGGAGATTCGAGGTCAGGGCGCAGGGTACCGTCTCCATCAGCCGTTCGTTCTCCAAATAAAGCTATTTGCGAACGGAAAATAGCGTTTCTTCACGCGGGATCGTTCATTTTTTTGCAAATATCACGCAATATCAGAAATTCTTTGCTATACAACAATTATTTGTCTTTCGAAAAATATTCATAAGAGAAATCTACATTTCTTTTCTTCAATTCGATACCTGAAGATTGTTGAGCGTTTATAATTATAATAAAGTAAAACTCGTCTGTTACTCACGTGAGTGATATTATCGAACCAGAAGTAGTCGGTATTCATGACCGCCCAGGAGTCCATCGCGTCGGTGATGATGGCCGGTGCGTCGCGATTCAGATAATTGTCGACCAGATTACGATACCGCACGTCCGACAGACGATCAATCGTCTCCAGTGCCTCGCAGGTCTACAAGAACGGTCCTTGGTCAACTATCGTAAATCTTTGATACAATCTTAGATATTTCCTCGTAAAATATCACATTCAAAAAATTGCGACGGAAATCTTTTTTTCAAAGCGCACCGATTGATTTTTCTTATCTTAAAAATACTGAGCGTACCACGCAGTCCTCTTCCGTGATAGTGTAATCGTTGTAGAAAGGATTGTTGATCATGCAATTTTCGTAGTAGAGCGGTTGCCAGTTCCAGATCGGCAAGACTTTGATCAGCAGCAGACGGCTGAGGGCGGTGAAATGGGTACCAACGAAGTCCAGCTGAGCCGCGAGACACGCCAGCGTACCCAGCACTATCAGTACCAGGGTGCCGCGAAAGACGAGCTGCAACCATGAGCGACGCATCGCCGCCACGAGCGGCTGGCAAATAATGTCCATCTCCTCCTCGGTGAAGCCCGCCTGCTGGCAGTACCTGCCAAGAAATTTCGAATATAATAACAATCCTAACACAATGGAAAAAAAAAAGATATCTATCGTAAGTGTGAAATAATTGTTCTCCATAAATCTACTTTTTGCAAAAATTATCATAACAGCGATTTGGAAAAAAAATGTCTTAAAAAATTATCTGCTGGCTTATAATTTTGGGAATATCGTTACTGGCGCAAATCTTTTATTATTTTATTTTTTTTTAATTGATCTAGGTGATAAAAGTGCGACGGAAGTATGGACAAAATGAAAATCTGTGACTCTCCACGAATGCCTTTCACGCGTGCCGAAAGTGTTACTTGTAAAAGGAGTTGAGCTCGTCGTCGATCAGCCTCAGCTTCTCGGAATGCGTCATCTCATGCTGCTCCTTGGTGTACGCCTTGCGCGGCTGCTTCACGCACTTGCTGCTCGACATCGCGACAGATCTCTGCGTCTTTTCACTGATGTGCAAGATAATCCGCGGTATCGCTCTCCTCTCGCAGAAGCGCAGAATTCCAGGATGCGCGGCAAGATAGGAACGGGCTCGTCGTCGCTATCGAACCGCTACCATGCATGCGCGCGCTTGTATCTGCCCGCACGACGATATTGATCGACGCCGTCGGCGCATGGACGGCGCGAAAACCGAGATAGATTTTCGGAATTTTTTTATCAAATCCCCACGCCTCTTGTTTTGATAAGCGACGGGCTTCCCAGGCGAACGTTTTTCAGGTTAAAGCCGCGCGATTTTACTAAAATCACATTTTTACAAAGTACGGAAAGATGTGGGGCGTAGGAAATTGATATGAAAAACTGCAGGTATTATTCCGTCAGAGTTTAATAAGTAGATAATTAGTCTTGCCACTGTCCGTAATCATTCGTATTTTAAAGAAAGTCTGTTTTTCATATTAAAACTTTGGATTGTGTAATATAAAATGATGGGCCCATTAAAATGTACTATTAGGTTCTGCTATTATATGTATATATAGAACCTATTATTTTATATGTCCTCTATAAGAGCACGATTTAACTTTAATATTCATTGAGGAAATGTACTCTAAAACTCGAATTTCTCTTTCTTAATATCTAATATTCTTTCATTTTGCCTAACATTTGCAAGTCACTCGAGGTGATTATAAAGTGATATGTTTGTGCGAAAGTTCTCATGTAAGACACATAAAATAATGGGTTCTTGTACATATAATGATATCTGTATCGACATAATACCGAATTACATACATTAAGAATGAAATACAAAAATCTAAGAGATTAATTGTGACAATATTTAATAATATCTGTATATAATACTATAGTATTACCGAAAAATTATATGAATATCTGTATTATGTCATATCGGTATTATTTGCAATCGGTTTTTATTTCGGTTATTTTAATCTAAAAAATACCGATACATTATCGCGTATTATTTATTTTTTAGTCCGTTTTAAGTGTACTTTTGTATACAAAAAATGTTATATTATATCTTCGGATTTATTTGTCGACAATTCTAAATTATTTGCTTACTCGTCATCTTAAAGCACGAATGTCTCGAGTGTCCCGGTGCATACAATTGCCTTCGATATATTCCGTTCTGTCTTCCAAATTCATTTTTGAATATCAACTTTATCGACCGGCGGTAGATTCCATCCAACGATCTGTAACTAATCTGCAGCAGGGCAAACCTGCACAACCTGCCGTCTGCGAGAGGCTCGTCACGTAAACAGAAACACCGCTACATAATTATATTAATAAGCAGTTATTAATAGTATTCCGCATGAATTAGCGTATATTTACGTGTACAATATATCGTATTGTACGCGACTGACTGTGCCCTCGGGTCAAAGTTCAAAAGTCCGCGTTTGCGACAGTTCCGTAGGTCGAACGTCAAGCGAGAAACGGTGCGAGGAAACAATGGCAATGCAGTGCATGAGATTACTTGGTGAATGCCAGATTATTTTCCAATTGTAATATTACTGAATATAAACGTTACTATTAAACATTTGTTTACATTCACAGCGAGTAACGTGCCCAGAACTGCAGCTTGCAATGCCAGCCGACACATTGCCTCGCTTTCCATGCTGCCAGACACGCATCAGATGTTGTACAAAACGTGCAGGTATTATGCAGGCAACAAGTCACATCTATGTACTTTGCATAGATACAATTAAATTATACTATTCAATTGAAGTAACGCATAGAGTTTGTCGCCGCTATTAAAAAAATCCCGTGTGATTACCTACAGGGACTTCGCCGAGGCGGAATTGAAGCCTGTCGCGGCGGAGATCGATAGGAAGCACCTTTTCCCGAAGGAGCAAGTCAAGAAGATGGGCGAGTTGGGTCTCATGGGTCTGTGCATTCCTGAATCGCTTGGCGGAGCGGGGCTGGACTACCTGGCGTACGCTATCGCCATGGAGGAGATCTCCAGAGGTTGCGCGAGCGCCGGAGTTGTAATGAGCGTGCAAAATTCCCTCTACCTGGGCCCGCTGGACGCGTTCGCGACCGACAAGCAGAAGGAAAAGTACATCGTTCCCTTCCTGAGCGGCGAGAGGATCGGCTGCTTCGCCCTCAGCGAGCCGGGCAACGGATCTGACGCCGGCGCGGCGTCCACCACCGCCAAGTCGGACGGTAGCGTTTACACGATTAACGGCACCAAGTCGTGGATAACGAACGGCTTCGAGGCCAGCGGGATAGTTCTCTTCGCGACGACCGACAAGTCCAAGAAGCACAAAGGTATAAGCGCCATCATAGTGGACAGTCCGACGGCGGGCCTGAGCCTGGGCAAGAAGGAGGACAAGCTGGGTATACGAGGCAGCAGCACTTGCTCCTTGATCTTCGAGGACTGTCAAGTGCCACGAGATAACACCCTAGGCGAACCAGGAATGGGTTTTAAGATCGCTATGATGACTCTAGGTAAACGTGACAGTCGAGCATTAAAAAACGTGGATTTTAATGGGTAATAATTATTCGACGTAATTCTCTCTCTATCTCTCTCTAGATGGTGGCAGAATAGGAATCGCCGGACAAGCATTGGGCATAGCACAAGCATCCTTGGACTGCGCGATGGATTACGCAACCAAGCGCCAAGCCTTCGGCCAGTCGATCATCAAGCTGCAGACGATCCAACAAAAAATCGCTGACATGGCTTTGAGACTGGAAAGTGCAAGATTGTTGACGTGGCGAGCCGCGCAGCTTAAGGATAACGGTAAACCGTACACGAAGGTACGGTTATGAATATTTATGAATATAATTTGAATGTTAATTTTCTGCTGGAATATCTACTCTGAATACGACTGAATATTTACTCTGCATGTCTTATCTTAGCCTATATATAACTACTTGGTATTTGATTAATCTTATCCCATATATATATATTTTTTCTATTGATTACATTTTGTATATCTTATCGGATAAGGTAAACTTCACGCTTCCATGAATGCATAGAAAAAAAAAATCTTCAAGTAGTCATGATAGCTTAAGCTTTAATCATGTGAATTAGCAATAAAAAATAATTTTAAAGACGAGAGAAAAATCGAGGGGGGGGGGGGGTAATTTCAACAGGGAATAGACAGACCTTTCGGGTACAAGATCTCAAGTAGAAGGCTTAAATGAATGCCAGATCGCAGATGTCAAAATTTATATCGATTTGCGGTTGCTTTGCCGAACTTACGTTCATCTGTTTTGCATTCTCCTCAGTTGCGAGCTAAGGAAAGTTCGAAGCGGATATCACGACGCGAGAAAATTTTTGCACATCCGCAATCTGGCCGTCGTTCTTCGTTCCGCTATCACGATAATTTTTTTTATTCGCTTATAGGAAGCCGCTATGGCCAAACTGTCGGCATCGGAGACCGCCACATTCTGCGCTCATCAGTGCTTACAGATTCTGGGAGGGATGGGATACGTGTCGGATATGCCGGCGGAACGTTATTACAGGGATGCGCGTATCACGGAAATCTACGAAGGCACGTCGGAGATCCAGAAACTTGTGATCGCCGCGAATCTCATCAAAGAATACGGTCTCAATTGAGATCACACCGATTCACGCACGTAAGATATAATCCTTCCGTATCTTTCATATCCCAAGAAACAGTAAAATATATATATATTTTTTGTTATATGTATTGCATCTAATATTAGACTTTGTATATATATATATATATTAATTATATTTTTATATATGGAGAGAAGTGTCGAAATAAATTTCATATGCTATCCTTCTAATTTTATTAACTCTTGACTAAATACTTGACTGGATCGAGAGCGACATACGCACATACGCGCAAACACATACACACACACACGTACTTATATACGTGTTTATGCAAGAAAAGGAAACGCATATACACGTGTGCATATATACATATATACACATACACATCTGGTATTTCACTGTCAGCCCTTTGGCAGCGATACGGAATTTTTTTTCCTCTCCACTTTTATTTATTTTTTCTCTCTATCTATTCACGACTTCTTCTCTACCCTGCTTGTCGTACGTTTAGGAACAGCTAGAGCCTATCTATTTAAGTAACTATTATCGTAAGATAACAGGTGTAGTGTGTGTGAACCCGCGTACATGTGTGAAACTCTCATGTCTAACAAAACGACGCAGTCGTCGTGGAAACAAAAGGCGGACTCATCCATTAAAGTTACGAGCCTGTTTGAACGACACAGATGTGCCTTATTTCGATCGGTTTTTCCTCGTCGATAAAATGGCGAATAAATACGTGCCCAGGGTTTCTCTGTTTTCTCGTGTGTGCCTGGTGTACATTGAGTACAAATACTATGTGCACCGTTGCGGCTACCACTGTTCGCACGTGAATACGAAGATAAAGGCTATACCTTAGACTACATGCCTCCCAACGAGAAAATACAGAGAATACATTTACTTTGTGCAAATGACAGTTAAATTATATACTTCATTTTACTGTTTTTTTTCCCCCTTTATAATATTTAATTAGAGATCCTATCACTAGGTGGGAACGCTGCTGCGATTCCACGTTAGTGTTCACAACCCATTAAAAGACTACTGTACTCTCATTTCGTTCTAGAATTCGATTCAGCGAAAATAAGCATAATCACTTTTCCAAACAAACTAAAATATATCTTGTCTATAGCGGAGCTTTATTCCTGTCACGACGGAAACGAGACAGTCGTATAATTATCTTTTGTCACGATATATATTTTTTTTCAATGCCACACTGAAGGATAAATTTAAAATTTAACGATGATCGTGATGATAGAGGCTGTGCAACGGGTTACGAGCAGCGTTCCGGAATACTTTGTCGGTTGTACTCAGAGATCCATTGGAATGCAAAGAAACATTGTATATATATAATTTGAATTTGAATTTCATTTGTGTATATGCCTCTTTCTTTTTTTATATATATATACAATAACGCACCCTTTCGCCGTTCACCCGCTGTTGCCACCAATATTGAAATAGCCTAAACTCTGCTTTTCTACATATGTGTGTACATGTATATCGGTTGTGTGAGCACTTTACAATAGAATACATCACCTCCCCCGTTCTCGGTAAACAATTTAGAGTAGTTTAGTGTAGTATGTTAATAACGCGCGTTACTGTGTTTAGCATCGCAGTATAATTAAAAAAATCCATCAGTTTGGTCCTAACTTCGTATAGGGGATAGGTACAGATACACGTCTCGCGTTCGTCGATAAAACAAACGGAACCGAAAGAATGGAGGAACATTGTAGGTTGAAAACTACCGTAGTACCTTGCCTCGTGGGATCGTCGAACGACCCCATGAAATAACTATAGATACACATTTAAGATCCTTGAAACTTTTTTTTTTTTTTTTCAAATCGAGCTTCCTGATCACATATACACTTTCGTAGAATTGAGAAAATACTCTCGAGCTCTCTTCCGAAAAATACACGATCTAATACATCACACTTTCGTGGTTGAAATGATAGTTCGAGATACAGATCGTTAATATGCAACATTTAGATTTTCAATTGTACATTAATATTATTAAACTGTGGAATTTTTTAACTATTTAACTACGATCAAACTCTCGCGATGTTAAATCACATATTTCCTTTGTTTTTTTTTTCTTTATGTACTTTGCAGCAAGCATTTTTTGTCGTTCGTTTAATTGAACTTCAATACCTATTATTATCGAACTACGAATTGCTGTTAAGTAATCATAACTCTTTATCTATATCGTGGCTTTCACGAAACTAGATTTCCCTTCATAATTATGCATTAAACAAGAGAGCCAGATGACTCCGATTCCTTCCCATTTTTGTATCTCTCTTTTTTCTCTTTTATAATAATAACTACATTATAATAATCTTTGACTGTAGATACATTTATCTAAAACGCTTGTAAATGTAAAATAAATTAAAATTGTAAGTAATTTGTAATAGACACTGAATCTAGACACGTAAATTCCAGAAATCGTCCGAATCCTGTGGAATCATCTATGACAGAGCGTAACAGGGTGTACATCTGTAGGTATGCGTCTGTATTTGTGTTGACATGTATAAGGAAATTGATTTAACCGTTCATAATAGAAGCTATCGAAGCCTCAATCGTCAGCTCGCATACCCCGTACTTCACCTTGATGTCTTTGCTGCAATTGAACATACAAAGAGCGTTTCAAAAGCGAAATTCAAAATCGAAATTTCTGACTTTTTAGCGAAAAACCAACGAGACTTACACAAAGTAGTAAGGTAATCGAATGAATTTGCAAACTGAAGAAATGAAAGAAACGGAAGAACTGAAGAAAGCGAAATATTCTATCCTTACCCTGTCTAACTCTTCTTTCGTATTGTCTTCGATTGCTCTAATGTCCTCCATGGTTAAACCATACCAGCGATCTATCCAGCAGAACACTTGCCTGTGGAAATTGGTAAACAGGCGCCGTTCCGCTTTCTGAATGAATCCTTCGACGCGGGTCTGCAGACCGAACCATTTGAATTCACAAGTGACTAGCTTGTAGCACGTCATCACAGGTTGAACATTATGCTTCCAGTCTTTCCCAACGAGTGGGCCCCGTCCCGTCCTCTGGGACTTGAACTTGGCCGGATCCTCGTCCTCCTTGTAATCGGCACTAGCGACCGGATCGTTGGCAATATCTATATGCACTACGTCTCTGATCTTAAGCTTATCGGGCGGCAATTCGTGAACCTGTTTCGTGAAGAAGAAAACATGAATGTATACGGAAAACACTTAAAATTATTCGCCTAACCTGACAAGACACTTACATTATGCTGATTGCCGACGTCGCCAATATGAAAGGACTCTATCATGATCACGAAGTTGTCCTTCATATACCCTGGATTCTGCGGAAAGATCAAAAAGTAACGTTTACACGAATATACTTATATAATTAATATCCTGTGCATATGTCAATACACGCGCGACACTTACAGTTATGACTGTTTTACAATAGGGATAAGCGTTCCAAGCCTCTTCGTGGATCTCCAGCGAGTTCTTTGGCAGTAAAATGCGAATGAAAGCAGGCACTTTACTAGCTAAGTGATAAATCTTATATGTATATTGGCCTGATGAGTACTTTCCACCGAGTAACGGATAATCCGTAAACGGCTCATTCTTCAACACTTCAATGCCCTCTCCGCCGCCCGTATTATTTTTACTAGCCTCTGCTACAGAGTACAGTTGAGCTACTTGATACTGTTGAGGAGGAGAAAATGAAATAACATATAAATTATTGACAGTTTTCTCAAGGTAGGTTAAGCCATTACATAATGCAAGCCGCGAGTCTCGTAGACATGATTTATATGTGCACTTTGAATTCTTTTTCTTTCTTTGTTTAGTATTAATTCCTTTTTTATTTCAATTTATTACTACAATACATCAATTCCAAGAAAAGATAAGAAAAAGATTTAAAGTCATCCTATCTATCTCTAGAATTGATACCACAATGATAATCTATTGAGCTATCTCTCTTGGCCATTATTTTAATATTTCTGAGGCAAGCAGATAACGAGTGGAAAAACAGAAACATAGTTTAAACAGTAATAAATAATAACAAAGAAACTCGTATATTTGTGTGAGAATAAAGGTTTCTAATAGCAAAGTGCATCATTGTTTATGCAAGATAACTCTATATAAGTACTCAGATAGACACATGTGTCATGCGGAGGATAATTAGATGATTAGGCGAGTTTTCTTGATTGCACGGTAACGCAATGATTAATTTCAATCTGTCTTTTTTCTCAATCTCAACATCCAGACGGGTTTCTCAAACCGAATCATTACGAGAAGCGGGGACTCCTTGTGACAGATCAGAGACACGTACCTCTTCCACTGTGAGCGGCAGAGTGACACGGCTGTAACAGGCAAATAATGGAATTATGTCAGCGTTACATATCGGGAAGAAAGGAGGAGGCGAAGGAAATCACGGCTAGCGCAATCGTGTCCTTGGGGTCACAGGACGGAGGGGGCACGGCGTCGCCGCGCGACGTGCACGTATCGCCCGGCCGATTTTATAATTACATCAGAAATCAAAGCTGATCGATAAATTTGTGAGATTTATGACCGAACGCATTTGTCGATCCGTATCGTAGGCAGGGAAGGGGGGGGAGGTGAACGCCGAGGAAACCTAAGGTCGGCCGAAATTCTCGGAAAGCTGCACTTTTCTCGCACTTCCCGCTGCTGGCCAGGAAATCATCGTAATATGCTTAAAGCTTCGACAGGGAGAAAGAGAGAGAGAGAGAGAGGAAGAAGTGCAGAAAGTGCAACCAACGAACTTCTGGAATCATGCGGTAAGGGATGAGAGGGCCACCATCCCTCTCGCTCCGTCTCTCTCTTCCTTCAACCCTCTCCCTCCTTCTCGTCCACCAGCCGCCGTTAAAGATCAGCAGTCATCGTGCCACCCGTGTGTCGATCGGCTTTGAATTTCGCTGCGCTGGCCCCCCGCCGACCCGCTGACGAGGACCGAATTTCGTAAATTCGTGCCGCGCGGCGCGCATCTGACAGGCCCCCTGCTCCCGTACGCGGTTCCTCGTCACCGTCATCGTCGCGCCGTCCTCCTCCTCCTCCTCTCGTCTCTCTCCTCCGCCACCCCTGCTCGCCGCGCCACACTTACTATTCCTTGATGAGCATTTTAGTCAGCAGCAGAGCACATGGACCAGTAGCGCGCGATCAGCAGACTCGCCGCCACCGACGACGACGACGTGATGGTGGAGCAGCAGGACCCACTGACACCGCACCCTCTCCCTCGTCGGCCACCGATCTGACTCACACTGGCTTGCTGCGCTATCGGCTCGCTATCGGCTCGCCGCCGCCGCCGCAGTGTCATACACCCGCAACGTGTACCGCGCAACGCCGACAGGATACGCCAACCGACTGACACACTCCGGGCCAGACCGCTCCGGCCGCTCCACGGTCCGCACCACCAGCAGCACAGCAGCACAGCACCGCACACACCAGCAACCGCACCGCCACACGGCCGCGCCAAAGGAGACGCACACACACACTTGCGCGCGCCCGCGCACACGTGTACGACTCCGCGGCATCCCCCCTCACCTCACCTCGCCCTCCTCGTCGCCCCGCTCGTCGCTCCTCGGCCGTCCTCGGCCGCCGTCGCCGATGATCGTCCGATATCGTCTTCTCCCTCGCCCCCTCGGCGCCCGCCCGGCCGAACTTTGCCGCTGACGTCATTCCGCGAGACTTGGGTGCGCGTGCGCGCGCGACCGGTCCCCACGCGCGTCGCCTCTTCAACGGCGACAACTCGACACTTACTCAACACGGAAAGAATATGATGCTCGAAATTAATATTCACATGAATATGATTTTATTGCGCAATCATGAGCATCTTTTTTCTCCCTCGCTGTTGACGTCTACGCGATGCGAAACAGGTTTTCGAACGATGTACCGTAAAATCACACGTTTCCGTATCCGGTGAAGGAAAATTATGTTGGACGCCCTGATGCGCGTTAAGGGCGGATTCTCAGAAATCATTCTCAGGGCGTAATCCCACGTATAGAAAAAAAGCCGGAACGGAAGAGCACAATGAATGAGAGCAGGGTGAGTGATAACCAATAAGAATATTTTTCCAAAAGCCTGTCTCAATTTTAGATGACTGAGTTCCCCATGCATTAAAAAGGCAATTAATATACATAATTATGTACACGTTATGTGTTGTAACAAAAATACTTAATTCATATTAATGAATTTTTTTATAAAATTTTCTTTTTCATTTATTCTAGGAAGTTTGCAAATGAGTGTAACTTAATTAAATCGATTTTTATATGAATTCATTTTAAAATTAAAAGTCATTTAATTAAAAATTTATTAGAGAATATTATCTTTTTTTTTTATATTATAGGCAGGCATCGCGTACAGTTTCTTTAAACTGTTTGTACATTTCTTCATTTACTGCAAATAGAAATGAATACAATATTATTAATACAAAAATTAATGAATCAAGAACAAGTCCACAATTAGGATTGGTAAAAAGAATTGCGACAAAATGAATTAATTAAAGCTTAACGTTTATTAAAACTTCGCAGCTATTTAGATAGATATATATAACGTTTGACTTTTGGAGAAGCATTTTTAGATTAATTGGTTTTCTCCCATTATGACTAATTCTTATTTTCCATTCCACTTTTTTCAATACGTTGCATCGGCTGCGGACATCGGCCGTATAATAACTTTTTCCTCGGATAGAAAAATTTCATCATGAACTTAAATAGTAAAAATTTTCACTTCCGCCCTAGGGGAAAAATCGATAGAGGAAGAATCGATGTCTAGAATGCCGATTTGAAAATTCGCAATTCTTCCGATCGATTCTGAGGAAAAGGGAAATAAGGGACGGTGAGGCAAAATTGAAAATATCAACACCATCAACCCCATTCTTGTGCTACAAGGTCGACTCGAGAGAACGCGAGCAGCCTACCTTATACGAACGAAAGACGAATAGGAAGCTATTTTGAATCTAATCAAGAGTTTCCAAGAGGTATTTAATATTATCCTGTACATTTTCTTATTTAATTACGCTGTGCACGTTCCCACGTTTAAGCCAACAATTATTTAATCCGTATCTGTAAATTCAAAATTGCAAAAATATAGCATGTGGATCCTATTTTATTGCGTATAACTTTTCTATTGTTCATTTTTTACCAATGTAGATTAACTTAATTGGAAGAAACAGTTTCTCTTTGAATTTAATTTTAGAAAAAAGGCAAAAGTAAGTTAAACCGAGTTTAAAATTAATATACAAAAATTTCTAGTGCTTCGACCGTTATAGATCGCTGTGTTCTAATTGATCAATTAAACAATTTGAAATCTTCATATATACATCTATTGTAAGTGGATCGTCAACGTAATTAAAGTATTAATAGTTTTAAGAATTAGAGAAAGATAAAGAATCAATTAAGCCGAGTTTAAACCACCAATTTGTGCTTTTTTTATACGATCTTTATATAAATTAATTTTGAAATTAAAAGTCATTTAATTAAAAATTTATTACAGAAAATTATCTTTTTTTTTCTATAGACAGGCATCACGTACAGTTTCTACTGTTTGTACATTTCTTCATTTTTTTATGCTCTTTATAACTAACCGATTTGTCGGAATCAAATCTTGTAATAATGTGAAGTTATTATTATTTATCATCACATGTCCTTCGGTTAATTTCATTAATAGGTCACGTAAAACGTTTTCTTAAAATACAGATACAATAAAAAATAGAACGATATTTATGCATAGCGACTTTTTAAAATTACGAAATTAGCGGTGAAAAGGATTCAATCATCAAATGACTCATGTTGGCTAACCCATTTGAAGACAAGCGATTTTGCACACCGTATAAACGTCGTATTAAAGATGAATTTTGATGGTATACTTTATTTATTTATTTATTTTTTTATTTATTTATGGCATGCCATAAGAGAATCTATTTTGAGCAATCAGAGTAATCTGTTAAATTTCCATTGCAGTGGACGTGCAGTTACATTTAACAACGATTGAGCTGCTTAAAGATATAGCTAAGTTAAATTTGGAGGATGATCAACCCAAACTGCTGGAACAACTATTTCGCATACCCGATTTCATTCCTATGTTGATAATGTCTTGCGCGCAAAGATTAGCAAAGACAACTCATGAGTTCCTATTAAATTCGGGCTACCTCTACAATTGGCTAACACTGATGACGGTTACGAAATCACATTTGGCTATTGCATTTGAGAAGAGTGAAGAGAAAGAAAAATACGTATTGCTAAAGATACTATTTATTATAGTGTGTCCGTACGCAATAGAAAGAGAATTGTTATCTCTAGAACGAAATAGAAAACAAGATCTTAATTTGATTTTCAAATGTATGTGCTTACTGTCATATATTCATCGCCGCTTTTATACCCCCTTGGTGATAGATCGCGTTGTGAAGAGAATAACTTTGAATATTCGTGAAGGTATACTATTTGCATTGTTGCGTTGCAGATAATTGATATATAATATGTTCCTTTCTAACTACATATTTGTGTGTAACAGTTATATATGTGGATGACACAGTTGACGTTAACGAAGAATCAAAAGACTTGGCGTTTGAGCTTTTAAGCTACCTGGAGGATCTCTGGCTGAAAATCGTAGAGCATCGTAATTTTGTATCTATCGCGGAAATAATTCCGCGGAAGCCATTTAACACCGCAGAACGTCAATATTTTGTAAATCTAACCGCACGCCAATCCAAGTTGCAGCATAAAATCAAAATGGTTAATGATCGACTTGAAAAAGGAGCGCATCCACCTAAATAATTAGAAAAAACAATAATTCGAACGTATAGTTTATTACACATTTTATCAAAATTGCACGTACGCGCAAACACATACTACTCTAATTATACGTGCGTGTATATGTTTTTAAGAAAATACAATAGCATGTGTAACACACATATGTAACACACATACAATAACACCTTTTTAATGTATTACTGTATTTTTTAAAAAAGTAATTCAATATTCTAAAAAAAATAATGTAGGTATAATTAACACATTAATTGTTGTATTAGTATTAGTTTTAATTACTTTAGATTTACTTTAATAGTTACTATTAGATTTTGCTATCAGACATAATACTAATTATAACATGTGTCGTATTAACGAAAATTGTCTGCCCTTCGTTGTTTAAAGACGTATAAGGCATCGATCTTTTTATACACAAATCAAATTATAATCAATTTAAGTGACTATATAATACTATACAAAATGTGTGTCTTAAAAGTGCAACGAGATAAATATAGACGTATGTATATATTTATCAAATAAATCAATTTGATATATCTGCTATATTGTCAATTTTTATATTCGACATTATTGCTTACCGCTTTGTATGAATTAATTGATAACTTAATTAAGTAAGGCGTTTCGCGAGTTAATTTTACTTAAAATCACGTAGATCTTTTCAGCTAAGAGAATTTCTTAGAGATGACAATTCGAAGTAGAAATTTGCATTCGAGTGAAATTAAAAGTGGCTCGACGTGTTCTCGAAAAGCGAAACGTGTTATGTGACACGCGGTATATGACGCGCGATGCGCTCGGCATGCGCACTCCCTCGTGGTTGGCAGGCTCGCAGCAACGTGCAGCGCACGTTGTTGGCACGAGTCACGAGCCAGGGAACGGAACGATTTGAGAGGATCTCTGTAGGATCTACAGCCGTTTCGGATTTCAGGAACGTGCCCGCGATTCCGCCGCCGCTGACGACGACGACGACGACGACGATGTCGAACCGACTCACGATCGACGAGGTGAGTAACGTCGCGGTTTGTTTTTTTTTGTTTTTTTTTTTTTGGACGACATTGCGAAACACGTACCTACATCTCCGTTTGCAGTTTCCCGCTTTGAGGTCGAAGCATGTTTACATCAAGGACGAGGCCGCCGTCCTGGAGACGATAAACGCGATTCGACAAGGTGGCGTGAATAATCTGCAGGTACGGGCTCTTACACCCTTATTGACACGCTTGTCACCCTTCGATTCGACATTGACATCTACGATTATTTGTGCAGATAGTCACGGATTTCGACTTAACCGTTACGAAGCAGCACATAGACGGCAACCATGTACTCAGTAGCTTCGGTAAGTGTGAACGGTAATTCACGGTCTTTGAAAAGTGAAAGAAAATCGATCCCTTGTCGTATCTAATTTAATTCGTTCACAGGTGTGCCTAATTTTCTTAGAAACGAGATTTAATTGTTTGTACACACAATTATCGTGATTCATCAATTTTCCTCTTGAACTATATAACCTGACGTTGAAATTCAATTATAGGTGTATGTTCCGAAAATGCAAGCAATTGTCTGCAGCAGTATTTATTCAAGTGTATTTATTAAACGTAAACGGTAATTCACGGTCTTCGAAAAGTGAAAGAAAATTGATCCCCTGTCGTATCTAATTTAATTTATTCGCAAGCGTGCCTAACTTCCTTGGAAACGAGATTTAATTGTTTGCACACGCAATTATCCGCGATTCAACAATTTCCTCTGAACTATAATAACCTGACGTCGAAATTATAATTACAGGTATGTTCCGAAAATGCAAGCAATTGCCGCAGCGGTATTTGGACGAGGCTAGGGATTTGTACAACAAGTACAGACCTATGGAGATAGATCCGGAGATGTCTCTGAAACAGAAGGCGGACGCTATGCGCGACTGGATGAGCGCCGCGCAAAATTTACTGAAGGGCATCGAGTTCGATCCTCACGAATTGGAGGAGGTCGCCCAAGGGTTCGACAATATATTGCGCGACGGCACGGAAGAGCTTTTCGAGAAGCTCGCCGACGCGAGGGTGCCGATTGTCGTGTTTAGCGCCGGTCTGGGTGACATAGTGGAGGTTGTGCTGAGGTACCACAATGCTCTCTTCGATAACGTAAGAGTAATCTCCAACTTTCTCAAGTATAACGGAAATCAATTGGATGGCTTTAAGAACGACGTGCTCATACACGCGTACAACAAGAATGAGTGCGCGCTGGAGAAAGATTATCTGAAGCTACTTCAAAAGAGACAGAATGTATTGCTAATGGGCGACACGATCGGCGATGCTAACATGGTGAAGGGAATAGAGAACACCAAGGCGGTTCTGAAAATCGGATTCCTTTACGAGCACGTGAGTATCCCTCCTGATCACTATAATCAGCTGTATGATATAAATGTAAATATTAGATACGTAGCGATACTAATCTCTTTTTCGTGGATCCTCCAGGTGGAGGCCAGCTTGGAGTCGTTCATGGAAAACTTCGATATCGTTCTCGTCGACGATCAAACGATGCGAGTACCGATGGGGATACTACAAAACATCTTGTAATAATGCATATCAGTTAATGCTCTCTTTCATCTGCGTATACATGTATACGCAACTACGAATGTGTAAATCACGTCATGCATGCGTGACCATCTCTCTGCAAGACCAGAGAACAGCTCATTTTACAATTAACATGTTTCAAATTAAGTGCATTTTCTAATATATCTTTGATAATAGCGTGTCTGCGCGTGATGCGGACACGCTGATAAGTTACGCTCATCTCGCTGATATATTTTGAAAGCGTGTACTTTGAATAAATTAATTTTTTTAACTCAAACTAAAAAGTCGAGATATGTACTATTTGTAAATTTTATATGTCTAACATGTGTGTGGATGTTACGGCGCGTCTCTAATTACAAATGTTCTGTGTAATTGTTCATTGTAACTCGCGAAAACTTAGCATCACGTGTCCTTCGATAATCGATATCTAAGCATGAAATTACATCTCGTATTTTTATCAAGTATTTTTACCAAGTCTAATTTAATGTTTTAAAATAATTTTATTATCATCAATTATCTGTCAGAACAAAGAACGAATATATCTTCCTAACAATTAAGCAATCGAATATCTCTATAAATTAATTTTAATGACTAATTAGACTTGATGTTGAGCATTCAGAAAATATTCTAAGATGTTGGAAATTAAGTGTTAAGTTTTTGAGAATTAAAATAACTGATAAAAAATTCGATGAAAGAAATTCGTAACCCTGATCGTCCTTTGAAATTTGGAGATTTGTTTAATATTCTTTTAGAAGAACATTTTTCCTTAACATTTTTGTTAATTATGTATTTTTCCTCTTTTTTTTTCACTTGTCAAATCATTTGCATGTACAATTGTATCGTTTTTAACGAGAACAATATAAGAATTTACAACTAGATAAATTTTAAACATCCGTCCATTTTATTTGCATTCAGGTTTCTTACTTTCTCTGTATGTGTTCGAATTATATAGGTCAAATATACTTAATACATACTTGTCAAATATATAGGTTAATCGTGCTGCTTTTGCACTTTTTGCACTTAGAAACTATTAGCTTTCCTTTTCTATAACGCCCGCGAATATGTATCTATCTCGCTTAAGTAGTTTCAACAATTTTTAGAAATTTCAAGCAACACGAACCACAAATCGAATAATATTTACCTCTAAGTGCAAAAAGTACTTGGGGAAAATCCTGATTGTCAGGAGTCAGGGGTGCATCAGTGCACACAAATTACAAAACAAACAAACCTAACCTGTTCATGACAAAACCTCGGCAAACTCCTCTCCCCCGTACACTAGCGCCAATTGCATCCACCATTGAACTTGGAATTACATAGCACATCCATTTTCTGATACTGCCGATAATATCATAGGCAGACAGGATGGATGTGGGGTTCGAGTCAGTGCTACATCCACAAAGATGTATATGAATGGAAAATATGTATATGTATATAATTATAATAGATATTTACGTAATTTTTCTTTTGCTGAAGCCTAGAATAATGAATATTATATAACCGAGAATGTCGATAAAATGCCTGATATACAATTATATAATCCTGACTCGAACCACATCCACTCTCTCTCTGCCTATGATTTTATCGGCAGTGTCAGAAAATGACTGTGCTATGTAGTTCCATTTCAAAAGTGGATATCGGCGGTAGTGTTGTGTATGTATTATTGGCTATAGGGGACTGTTATATAACGTAAATATAATTTTTAAAGTCGTCTGAGATTGAAGATCTCTTCTCGCGAAGAAAACGCTGCGATTGCGATTCTTTCCTCGCGACTGTTTCGCACCGAGGTAATTTATAATAAAGTTGCGATAATTTGACAACTTATTTAAGTGGTCTCTAACCTAAAATGTAATCACTGACTTGTCAGCAATAGATCGGAAGA